TTTCCAGCCGTCCTGGAAAAGAAAAAAGAAAATGTAAGTGCATGTCGAAATACACTCGTATGTGCGTAAAAGCACAATGTCGGTGGAAAAAAAAATGGAAAATAAACTCATGAACACGTAATAGCGTTAAAAAAATTGTTTTTTTGTTTTGTTTTTTTTTAAATAGAAATAAAAATATATAAGCATATTAAAATTGTTTTTTTTAAAAATAATATAAAATGTCGAGAAGTGTCTTACGTGCAATAGTCGTTTAGATGTTCTGGAAATCTCACCCTTCTTCCAGAACGCGTCGTTTTAAGTTTATTTTCGGATACTGTCGAAGTATCATCGTGTGTGTTGGTTGTCGGATGAGGTATTATAAGTGTCGGAGTCGTGTCGTTCGATTGTACCGAAGGAAAATCGACGTAGATAGGATTTCCTTCTAAATACGCTGCTTTTAAGCGATCGATACTGATGCTATCGTTGGTTCCGTTCTTATCGACTATATAGTACTTAGATTCACGTTGAAGAACTTTGAAGGGTCCTTCGTATGCTGATTCGAATGGTCGTCGATGCGAGTCTCGACGAACGAAAACGTGTGTACTATATCGTAAGTCAGGTTGAACGAAAACATCAGTTGATTGAGGTCGAGTGAAAGCAGGTTTAACTGAACGCATTGCGTTTGTAAGCCTGTTCGTGTAGGAGGTTAGATCCATGTTCATTGAAGAGGATGAAGGATCCACGAATTCTCCTGGAAGTCGAAGTGTCGTTCCATAAACGAGTTGAGCCGCAGTGTATCCAATGTCAGCTTTCACTGCATTGCGGATACCTAGTAAGACGAGTGGAAGAGCGTCGGTCCACTGTGAAACGTTTGCAGCTGATAGCGAAGCTTTCAGTTGTCGGTGAAAACGTTCTACCAACCCGTTTGCTTGTGGATGGTAGGCGGTCGTTCGGAAGCGAGTGATTCCTAAAAGTGTGGTCAGACGACGGAAAAGATCGGATTCAAACTGACGTCCGCGGTCTGTAGTGATGGTTGAAGGGCAACCGAAGTTTGCTACCCATCGTTCGACGAAGGTGCGAGCCACTGTTTCAGCAGTGATGTCCTTGATAGGTACTGCTTCTGGCCATCGAGTGAAACGGTCTACGCAGGTTAATAGATAAGAGTATCCATTCGAATCTGGTAAAGGTCCTACCAAATCCAGATGAACATGGTCGAAACGAGCATCGGGAGTTTTAAACGAGCCTAAGGGACATTTATTGTGTCTGATAACCTTAGATTTTTGGCAGCTTACACAGGAGCGTGCCCACTCCCTCACGTCTTTATTCATTCCAGGCCAGCAAAACCTATCTGCAATGAGCTTGATGGTTGCACGAACACCTGGATGCGAAAGTTTGTGCAATGTGTTGAAGACATTGCGTCGATAATGTTTCGGCACGATTGGGCGATCCCTACCTGTAGATGTGTCACAAAATAAGGTTTCCTTACCCGTTCCCATCTGTTTGATGCGTAGTTTAAGTGTTGTGGACGATAACTCGTGCTGAAGATCACTGTCTTCTTTTTGAAGCTCGGCGAGTTTAAGAAGGTCGATTCCTTGGAAACTGTTCAAGGAAGTTATACGAGATAAAGCGTCTGCAACTACATTGTTTGCTCCAGAGATGTGTTGAATATCTGAAGTAAACTGCGAAATGTAGTCCAGTTGTCGAGACTCACGGGGAGAGTACTTGTCAGAAGGAGAGCTTAACGAGAAAGTGAGCGGTTTATGGTCCGTGAAAAGAGTGAATTCACGACCTTCGATGTAGTGTTGGAAATGCCGTATAGCACAATACATAGCTAGGAGTTCCCTACCGAATGTGCTGTACCTCGATTCGGTGTCTAGCAACCTTCTAGAGAAAAATGCCAAGGGTTGCCAGGAGTTGTTAACCCATTGTTGTAAGACTCCTCCGATTGCCGAGTCGGATGCGTCTACTGCGATGCTAATGGGTGCTCGGGTGTCCTGATGTGCGAGCATCGTTGCTTTAGCAATCAGTTCCTTAACTGTGGAGAATGCTTTTCGTGCGGTGTCGTCCAAATTAATGGATTTCGCATTTCCACGAAGTTGGTCGGTCAGAGGTTTCATAAGTAATGCGCATTTCGGTATGAAACGTCTATAGAAACTTACCAGGCCGTTAAACGTGCGTAATTGCTTGACGGTGGTCGGTTCTGGGTAATCCAGAATGGCCGCCACTTTGGTCCTAAGAGGTCGAATGCCTTGAGCATCGATAGTGTGTCCTAAAAAGTCTAACGAGTCGGTTCCGAATTGGCATTTCTGAACGTTTACAGTTATGCCATGTTTTTGAAGTCGTTCGAAAACAAGATCCAGATGCTTGAGATGTGTTTCTCTGTCCGGAATTGCGATTAGACAGTCGTCAACATACGCGTGTACGAAGTTGAGACCTCGAAAAACGTCGTCTATGAATCTTTGGAATGTTTGAGCAGCATTCCTTAGACCGAAAGGCATTCGCAAAAATTCATAGAGTCCGAAAGGAGTTATGATAGCTGTTTTCGGTATGTCGTCAGTAGCCATAGGGATTTGGTTATACGCTTTAACCAAGTCGATTTTCGAAAAGACAGTTGTACCTTTCAAGGTAGCTGTCAAATCGTGAATGTGAGGCAACGGGTAACGATCGGGAATGGTTTTTGCGTTCAATCGCCGATAGTCACCAGTTGGACGCCAATCGTTGCTGTCCTTTTTAGGGACCATGTGCAACGGAGATGCATATGGGCTACTTGACGGTCGTATGATTCCTAAGTCCATTATGTGATCGAATTCGTTTTTCGCTAACCTTAGCTTTTCCGGAGCTAGTCGTCGTGCTTTAGAGAATACAGGTGGTCCTGTAGTCGTGATGTGATGTGTAACATTGCTGGTTACACACGGTAGTTTCGGTTGAGTTTGTTGTATCCCAGGGTACTTATCGAGTAGTGGTTGATAGAGTGGGTCTATCATATGTTTAACTGTGACTGGGGATACTCTACAACCAGTAAAGGAAGTTACGCAAACGGACAAATTAGTGTTTCCGTCTACTAGCCTCCGTTTGCGAGTGTCGATGATCAGATTGTGGTGTTGTAGAAGGTCCATACCAATGATTGGCATAGAAACATCTGCAACAACGAAAATCCAGTGGATGGGTTTGCGTAAACCCACGTTAAGGTAAACGTACCTTTTGCCATACGTAGCGATCGGTTTTCCGTTTGCCGCCTGTAAGTTTAGGGTCGATTCGTGTAGTCGGTCGTTAGGATTTGCTGGGAGAACGCTAACTTCTGCGCCAGTGTCGACGAGGTAACGAACTCTCGTTGTCACATCTGTGACGAATAACAGACGGCTTTGTTCGCCGGCTACGGTTGCCGTTAACGCGTGCCGGCTTGGAAGTTTCCCGAATTGCTTTTCGAATCAGTCGGTTTCGTGTTGGGAAAATTGCAGGGTTTTCTGCAATTTCTGGAAAACTTTCCATACTGGTTATGATACCAGCACCAGTCGGGGTTATCTGTCTCTCGTGGTCTAGAGACAGATCGCTTACGAGAAATGCTTCTACGTGGTGTCCGCGATCTCTTACGGTCGGTACGAAGACTAAGATAACTCGTGAGTGTGTGACATAAGTCGGTTAAATCATTCTGAGTCGTGTGAGGCTTTTCTTTGACTGAAAATACCTCGGTTGTAGGTTTCGTAATTTCTAAATGCGGTCGGCAGATGCAACTAGTTCGTCTAAGGCGTTGTTCTGGAACGAGACCAGAACTGCTTGCACCTGTTGGGGAAGTTTTGACAAGAAGAGTTGTTTGAATAGGCCTTCGTCGAAAGTTCTTGGGCCTATTACCTCTCTCATCCGTTGCAACATGTCTGTCGCAGAACCGTGTTGCAGGTCGATATTGTTGAAGAGTTGATCTAACCTTTGTCGATCGGTTAGGTCTCCTCGTTTAAGAATCGAGCGTTTTAAGATTTCGTAAGGATCGGAAACATCACTAGTAAACATACTAGGTGTTACGTACCTGTTGAATTCGCGCGGTAGTGCCTTGACTACTGCGAGGAATTGTGCACGTGTGTCGATCACGCCGTGCTCGGAGAAGTCGGCTTCTGCGTAGCAAAACCAGGCTTCGATGTTGTCGGGCCAGAAAGGCATCAGTTGAAACGAAGGCGGGGACAAAGTCTTAAGCTTGAGTACTTTAGGTGTCTGTTCAGTCATGATGAAGTATGAAGTACGATAATGAACAAGGGGAAAATATATATATCCAGGAAGAAACACGAAAAAAAATCACAATGTTTAAAAAAGTTAAAAAAATAAGGCAATGATATATAAAAATCCCAAAAAGGAACAGACTCACAGTTGCAATTAGGTGTACCAGATCACGTCGGGCTCACCAATGATGATGTCACAGGTATTCAGTGTTTGACAACGCTTCTACCAGTAACACCTTCTAATATATTTCGTTCCCGCCCAGAGAAATCAAAAGACAGAGTCGAGGAGATCGGAAGAGTATATTTGGCGATGACCAATATATCGGAATTCTCTGATCTAATCTGGCTAGCGATTGCGGTTGATGTTGAGCACGGCGTTACCACACGTGATCTGGTGCGGATGACTGACCGAGCGCCTTCAGCTAGGTGAGTCCACTAAAACATATGGTCAGCATCCAATGTCGAAAACTTAGTGCTATTTATTTTGGGGATTTATTTACCGCTACAACACTATGATTTACCAATTTCTTTTCCTCTTTTATTGTTAACATACCTAGGTTCCTGCCTGGAGGATTTGGTGATCCCCTGCTACTAGATACAGAAGCCTGTTAAGCGAAAGCTTCTTCCATTCCGTCCACAACCATTTGAACCATTTGAACCATTTGGTCAAGGTCACGGATTTGGAAACGCAAGAAGTTGTTATGGGTTTTATCGTCCATTATAAGGTTCTAAGCTTGATTTTGTATAGAGATATGTAATAAAAGCGAAGAAACCCATCCAAACATCTTTTGATGTACAATAATCTCAGATTGAATGCATTCGCTAATCAACAACCGGATTAATGTATTTACGTTTCTGTTTTATATCTTGGTCCAATATATTGCGATCTATCCGGGTCGCTCTAAGGAGATAGGTATGATGTGGTACTCATAATAATAAACACCTTAAGTTTGTACGCGTGCTGATGTGCGACACCCGTCAAGTTTAACAAGACTTTTCCGTTGCACTGTTATAGAAGGTGATTTGTTTGTTGTTTTCACGCGAATTCCAAGGGACGCAAGTCTGCCGCTTCTGAGGGAAATAACTGGAAGTCTGCTTGTGTATGATGTTGAAGGACCAGATGACCTTTCCAATTTATTACCAAACCTTACTTTGATCAGAGGACAAACTCTAGTGTTCGGCTATGCCGTTGTCATTAAAAGTACATCACTCAAGGTATTTCAACTTTTGTCTTCCGCTTCGTTCTGTCAAAGCTCAGGAAATCTTACTGTCTGTTATGTTACTTCCCTGTGGTGTATTCCGTAACTTAAATGGCATAATTATAGGGATTACTTTATCGTTCTGGACAGCACCACCAGCACCTACTTCACTTCTGCATTTAGCTCATACAACATAACACCAGTAAAAGCATCCAATTGAGCTGAGGATCTCCGTCATCTTAACACCATTTCAATATATCTCGTCTATTTCAAAAATCCACTTTTGACGTTTCATTTTGGAAGGGCAACACTATTATTTTCTGGTTGATTTAATACGTCCATATAAGCATTTTTAGCCTAGTTTTTTATACTCCTGCCTTTCTTAAACATCTCGTGCCTATAGCTTGCCGCATTTGAAGCGTAATATATTCTCTATTTTGGTTGAATGCACATGTTTGATACTACCCGTTTACTCGAATCTGATTCTTTCAGCTTGTCCCTATATTTATGGTTTAAGGTTTATCCAGATCGTGTCATGTAATACTTCTTAAGTCAGTGTTGTAAAGAAACCTAATTTTGCCTATAGGTCGTGTTACAAATAACATCATTACTAATTTGTTTTAATGTCTTTTTCTTTTCGATTTCCCTTAAAGAATATCGGTCTTTTTTCCCTCCGAGTGATTCAGCAAGGTGGAATACGTATAGACAATAATCCACAACTGTGCTATGTAAGGACTATTGACTGGGATGTAATCCTTCAGGATCAGAGTGCGGGCGTGTCTTCGGTCAAGATCGTTAAAAATGGATTAATGTGCCCAAATACCTGTTCATCTGGTTGTTCTGTGGCTTCACAAAGTACTGGACGACTTTCAGCAATAGGAATCTGGAGCCCCTTATTAAGAGATATTTCTCCCACTGATGGACATTGTTGGTCTATGAATAAATGTCAATCAAGTAAATAACCATTGTGTTTTTTAAGTATTGCATTTTTACAGGCGTTAAGCCTTTGACAAAATTATTTTGATACCTGAATATTGATTTTCAAATATGCCTAAAATGATTCAATTTGGGGGGATATATTAGATATTATCATTTGTGTTCCCTATCACCACTAACATATTTAGGCTGTGTTCGAAAACAACAAACTAACGGCTTCTGTTAAACCAATAGTTCCGCTTATCAATACTTTGTGATGTAGTCAGTCAGTCAGTAACATCGTAGAACTTCGTACGTACGTACATCAGTTCGAGTTGCCACACCACAGCATAGAGATGCAATGGTCGATTCAAATCCCGTAGTGGTAGAGGTAATAAGAGTATAGGCAGTAATCGGGAAGATTAGTGTTTGGAGATGTTACTTAAAGAGCATAATACAGTGAAATAAATTTGGGAAGAGAAAAAAAAGAGACAAGGAGGAATCAGGAGATTAGAATTTGGGAGAACACAAAGAGTGTATGCACTTGCGCCATTGCAAACGATTTTGAGCCATGTCATTCAGGGTCTCTAACCATCGGTTGCTATCATCTCGCGGTCCCCAACCAGGTAGTCTACACCTACCAACATGACTCAGACCACTTGTCAGTGACTTCATGGACTTGTGCCATGTTTTGGTTTGGCCGCCCCTAGCTTTCTTCCAACCTACTCCTATATCACTGAACATCGCACGTCGAGGCAGTCGGTCGTTGGGCATACATAACACGTGTTTCAGCCATCTCAACTGACGAAGTTTCACTACGTCATCAATTGATTTGCCATCCTTACCTAGTACCCGTTTCCTAACAACTGCATTACTTACTCGATGGTCCCACGATATACGAGCAATATTTCGAAGACACCTATGATCGAATACTAGTAACCTACGGATATCCTCTACTCTTACCGGCCATGTTTCACTGCCATAAAGTAGGACGGAACGAACTGCTGCGCAGTAAACACGTCCTTTGGTTGATAGACGGATGTCTCGCCTACGCCATAAATGACGCAAGTTGGCAAAAGCTGGTCGAGCCTTCTGTATCCGTGCTGAGATTTCGTCACACACCAAACCACAAGTGTTGATGAGACTTCCAAGATAAGTGAAGCGGTCGACACACTCAACTACTTCACTCCCTATCACTAGTTCGGGTGTCGATGTAACCCAATCCTGAAGCAACATTTTGCATTTCGAGGGGGAGAATCGCATCCCGAACATGCTTGCATTGCTGCTTAGAGTAGTCAGAAGACTCTGCATTTTGTCAGCGTCTTCACCAAATAGAACTATGTCATCGGCATACTCTAAGTCAACAAGTGAACCTCCTGGTAGAAGTTCAACCCCTGGAAATCTAGACGAGGAAAGTGTTATCTCTAAAAGTACGTCGACGATTTTGTGATGTAGACGATTATTTAATAGCTTAACAATTCATCTCTAAACCATGCCATTGGAATTTGATACACGGTAAATCTGGGTGAAATTAAGTTTAACTTCTAATTAATATTTATCTTTTTTAGAACTTTTGGATTTCCAAATTTTTTTGATAAAAACATGTGGTAGTTGGAACCCCTGTACATCGAAACTAAATTCTTATGTGACAGACTAAACTGGCTTTCGGTAGGGCTGGTCTAAAATGAATTTCAAAAGTGGATAATAAGGAAAATATTTTGATTGCATCACACACTGTTTACTGGATGATTATAAAATTTCAGTCAAGTGGTTCCATTTAAACTTTTCGTAATCAGAAATCTTATTTCTATACTTATTCATTTCTTAAATTCATCTGCTTCAGGTCCATTTGAATGTCATTCTGTCTAAGCTGCTTCACTAGTTGTGCTGATGCAAAGTGCTTTAAATTTGTCTAGTTCATTGTTGTATGGTTTTCTACATTTATTCTAACAAAGTAAAGAGGTTCACTGAGATCCATGACATTAATTTGTTCGTGAAAATCCAGTTGACTTACCTTGTGAACCAATCGGCTGGGTTTGTATATTATATCAAAGACGTTACTCTAAAGATCGGCTTTTAAAACGGGTCTTGTTGAATGCATCGTAAATTGTGTACCTGTTTTTTCATTTTCTTTAGCTTATACATTGACCGTAAGTGTTCACAATGAGGTCAACTACATATAATAGGGGTATCTTCACGGCCTATATTTTTCCCTGCACATGCTTGAATTATGGTATCGTTGCATATCAGATAATGATTTTCAGCAAACAAACTCTATTTTTTAGTATATCGGTTCAAACAAATTGTTGTTATTCTGTGTACCGAGTTTTAATTAAAATAATCTATAGAATTGCTAGAAATTCCAGAATGCTTGTTTTGATGATGAAGCATTATAAACATGGCGTATAAAATTGTTTTCTACTTTTGAAAATATTGAAAGTTGTCTGACCAGTATCTCACTGAATCACTTATGACCAAATAATACCTTATTTAACATACTCCTAGATAATGAACTTATTGTCAATGAGTCTCGTACTTGAAAAATCTCAGCAAATATAGGGAACACGAGAACTGGCGATCAATATCATGATGCTCAGACTGTAAACTACATAGGAAACTAATATAAACGAGATAAGTCAGATAGTGTTCACGTCCTGGCAGCATTTATCAAATGGGCTAGGACCTTGTTATTTTGTTAACGAACTTTTGATTGTTAAAGTGAGAGAATCCTGGTTAGCGAAATGACCGATTGATGGACGGTTATGTGAAAACTGTTGACGTATGCTCATACATAAACTAATATCAGTAGAATATCAGTAGAATAGGCTTTTGTAATAGGATAATGTATTTTCCGCAAAATGTCGATAAAAATGTCAAACTAGCTAAAATCGACATTTTCCAAGTCCGATTAATTCATTGCATTTCGTAGCTTACTCGACTAAACACAAGATAATCCGTTTAATTAGTTTAAAATATTAACATGTTTGTAAATTAACAGATGAATAATGAATAAGAACTTTCCTCTAAATTTAATCGAATAGTTTCACTGTATTTGGGCGCGGTGTTGGTATGAGACACTAAAGAGGAAGAATGTAGTTGTAAAACCTCAGCGGAAGAATTTGAAGTAAACGTTGGATTTACTTCGAATTCACTGAGATTTTACAAATACATCCTTCCTTTTCAATGTCTAACAGATCAATAGGTAATCAAAAAATAGCGAATTGTTTGATGAATAAAACTTTAATCAAGTGAAGATTAACATTGTAATGAAGTGCTTATTAGTAGTTGAAGTGATAGTTCCAAATATTGTATACTTCTGCACTAAGTAATATGACGGATTGATCGAGAGCATATAAACAAAGGAAAAAGATTTTGAACCGAGCCCACTGAATCGCAATAACAGTATAAAAGAACGAAAGTATTGGAAATAAGGAAGGTTAATTACTAGCTGGCATACGTAGGTTAGATTTTAGCCTTTTGATAACAGTGACAACGCACATCAATGTGGCAGCATTATTTTTACAGTAATTGGTTTGGATGGGCTCACCATATCCAACCCATGTCTGTGTTCTGTAGGTGTTTTGGTCCACTAGACGTGGTTTTTTCAGAATATTGTGAATCTAAAATAATATAGCGAAATAGTACTAAGCCCAATAGGTCTACAACTTCGACAAGACTATCAAAAACTCAAATTCGAAGTACGCAGCATGAAATTTTATTGTATTATCATCAGTTTAAACACAACATGAAATATTTAACTGTACAGTAAATGTGATGGTTATTCGCCACAAATCTCTTCAAGAAGAAGCGAAGGTGCCCACCATTTCGTCTTTCAGATGTACCTGCTTTATACGTAAATGTAAATTGATAAATGCACTTGGAAGTGATGTATGATGGATATTCGTTTACCTTCGTTTGCATTACTAAACACTGTGCTATCTACATTGGTATGTTTTATAGCATAAAATATAGTCACAAACTCTTCATCGAATGTTTTTATCAAGCACAGTTGCCTAGCTGTTTAGTGAAGGAAGTTTATTAGGCTGTGTTAATAGTTTATTGTTGTAAACAATATAAGTGTAAATGTTGCCTCCAATGTATCAGTCAAATTTCTTGCCCTAATTCTCTGAAAATAAATGTTTCTGTACATTTTAGCCTATTGTGAAATATTACTATTATTATTATTATTATTATTATTATTATTATTATTATTATTATTATTATTATTATTATTATAATTTCAGCCTATTGTGAAATATCGATAACACTCTCGTCCTATCTGCTACTCTGTTAATCTCATTCGCTTTCTAAATTTTCTATCATTGCTGTTTTTGAGTTGTCATAAATATAAGTCAGTCAGTCACAACGTATTAATATAAATCTAACCCATCTTAAATTCCTAACATGAGGCTTGCAGAATGTATTTGCATTCGACTTTAATTCCGTTTATTACTATTGTTGTACCTACTTCATTTTTCTATAGTGGGGTTTTTACCATATATTAGCGATGATATTTTAATAACTTTAAGGCACCCACTCTTGTTCTCGTCAGAAATCTTGTATCTGGCCCTTACCCCAGCTATTATTTCCATTGTTTAACAATCTAGATTTATATGTAGTGAAGGTGAATTCCCAACATGCGGATTCATTCCAAAACACCTACTATTGTGACTCCAACATATCTGGATATATCATCCAAGTAGTTATCATTTCAGTTTCTTCATTACCACCAGTACTCGTTGAAACAATAAATAAATCTTTCATTATGCTAAATAGCTTTAAATAAAAAGAATATTTACATTGTATAATGAGATTCTGCTCACCTTGGCTCTCTGGATGGGATCCTGGAGATAGTGCCAGCAGAATAAATTCATGTGTAATTAGGTATGGACCAGTATCAAACTAATAGCTTAACAACTTTGTTTTCTTTTCGTATTTTGCCTAATTATTTAAAAATAATCAAAATAACTTCTTGGATGAGTCTTGTTTAAGTAGTTTTCCGTTAATAAATATTTTATGATGTTTTTTGTACCTTTGTGTCTACTTTTCAGAGTTTTGAACTGCTTTGTATGATTCGTATCTTAATGTTCTTGCTTAGATAAGTTTACGGTCGAATAAAATTGACACAACTATACAAGATGTCACTTCCATTCTTAGAAATGCCCAGGCTAGGTCATATAGACCATGTCGCTTGGAAAAATTTTGGTATTCCGAGTCCTTGATATTTTCTCTTTAAATAGTTTGGTATTCACCGATGGAGTGACACAGGATATTGTGGTTGGAATTTATGTTCCAGTGATCAAGGTGGACTGCCTCATGGCTTATTTTAAATTGATTTCCAGAATTTATCTAATTTAAATCTTATCTCCGTAATATTAAGACTATTCGTAGAACTGGCCTAGATGAGACAAAAAAATTTCCATTGTTGTCAGATTGTGTTGATATTTTCATGACAATTGCATCGACTGTTTTCTTCATTTTTCATCCAAGAATCATAAGAAAAGCCTTTAGTCCATCAGAAAAGAGCTGATGCGAACATCCAAAAAAGTCCACGCGGAAGCATGATTTAACTCTGAGTAGCTTCAGAACGAAATACTAAAAGTGAGAAACTTTAAATTATTAGTAAGTTTTCGACAAGACAGATCATCACAAAAGTTACTTAACATTCGTTCAGTTTTATTAGTATGTTGATACGACCGCATAAAATCTAGTATTTCTATTCTTTAAGTTGTATTGAATCTTGTCTAAAGGTTTCGAGACGTAAACGACTGTTTTAGTTTACAACTAACCGGGTCAGTGATTCACAAATACAAGCTGTAAAGTTACTGTAGGAATGAAAACGGTAATGATTTGCAAATAATGTGGTCTTTTCGTTGAAACTGTTGTCTAACTTACGATATTGGGAATAATCTAACTGTTGAATTATTTACTCTGTATCCATATAATGAAAATGGTATGTATTTCTGTTTTACTGCTCGATGTGTAACAAATGTAAAATATATGATTTTATTGATCAAGTATTTAACTTGTTATAGTTCTGTATTCTTACTTGTTTCCTAGTATGCCCTTTAAAATGCACACTTCTAAATTTGACTTGTACAATGAAACGTCCTCATAAATGCTGTCATCCAGAATGTCTTGCTGGATGTTACGGTGATGGCCCAAGTATGTGCGTTGCGTGTAAGAATGTTATGCATAAAAATCGATGCGTCTCACAATGTCCAGGAGGAACTTTTAAAGTAGGTTCGCATCCAATTTTAAATCTCATATGGCCTTTTAATTACTGACAGAGGTTCTTTGGTTGATAACCGAGTTCACTTAGTTTAAAATGATTACTAATTAAGTTATTTTACCTGATCTTTTTACTGAGTAGATTAAACTGCTTAAACGTGCTTCATTTTCAAAATAATATGTGTTCAGTGTATATCAAACAAGTTCAGAACAAATATAATGAGCTAAAGTGTATCAATTACTTTTTTAGTTGCATTAATTCTGTTTTATAGTAATTATTGAGTCCCCTTTATCAGCTGTCATACCAAAACGATTTATTCCAATTTTTCGAACCAGTGTGTACACTTAACATTTATATACTTTCAGCTGCCTCTCAATTTGCACGTTAATATGATGGTCTAATTTCGTAGTTGGTATAACTGGTGAATAAATAAAGCATTTCCCCATCTAGCCATTTAGCCATCCATGTTGGGAGTGAGTTCTATTCTTACTCTAAAAGTTGATCATAATGTAACTAAAAGGCTGTAGTCAAAAAATTATCCTGATATACTGGTAGAAATAGTCAAGGTCCTTTTCTCTAGATCCGAAAGTTCATGAGTTTGATTTCAGTAGTATTTGTAGTCTCGATCTTTATCTTATTTCATTTGCTTCTTTTGTCTTTCTTATCTATAGTCTGCCAAGACTGTTGGTATTATTGCTGTTTTTAATTCACTGGTTTTCGTTGTTGTTTTGCTCTTATTATGTTGGTGTAATTTGTGGTTACATAGGCAGATAAACCTATATTACGCAATTCGTCTCCCAAGTTTCACTGTCTCTACATTGTTTCGGGGCTAAATGCTAGGGATATCACAGAGGCAGCACATCTGAACCCATATAAAGTTATGTAACCTATTCAAATAGCAGATTTCCAGCTTTAAGGCGTCGTCTCACAAACAACTGTTGTGGAATTAAAGATATGCAGCGACGTAATCAAACTACCCTGGATTGGTATGTGTTAGGAATACCGTTGTAGAGTCAATTTTTATCTTTACTTGCTTTCTTTGTCGGTTGCATTGAAGTGTTACCATGTACGTTTGCTTGTTCCTTACTCACTGAGCTAGCTCGCATACAGTACTTCCTTTGCCGTTTAATTTCTAACCTTTCCGACATCATAGGTACGGAATTGGTGATAATATTAAAGGTTTTTTATTTGTCGCACTAATTGGAAAAGCTTTTTAACTACCTCCAACTTCTTCACTTCTATGGGTTAATGTAGACTTATGCTTCTGTTTCAGAGCAGAACAGATGAAATACCTACAACTGCATATTTGTTTAACGTTGTCTAATTGTAATAAACTTGTGATAGAATTTCGCCATTCCTGAGAAATTTTCAGTTCATACGTCTTATGAAAAGTCGTACTAAATGTTTACATATTTAAAATTAATTAATTTTTTGCATTTTGAATTATTGTCTGCGCTCATTTATCATCGATTACGTTCCGTTAGATTTTTTCATCATTTCTACTTATAGTATCTTGATCGGAGATGCGTCACAGAACATCAGTGCTTAGCTCAATTGTCCAATTTAACGTATGATGATTTCCCATATATGTCAGATCATCACGCAAATAATTTTTCAAATAATTCATTCCCACTGGATATCATGGCTAAAATAGACTCGGATTTCACTATTTTCAATGGATCTTGCCTTTTAACTTGTCCTGTGGGTTATAAGAAGTCATCTAAAACCGGTCATTGTTACTCATGTGGAGATCAGTGTGAACTTAAACGTGAGGTTACCAATTTTACTTTACAGTACTAATTAATGTCATCATAATGAACAATTTTTGACCCTAACCACGTACAACAACAATTTTCAAGGATGTGAGACTTTCTGTGGATTGAATGCACTAACATGTTATTAATTGAAAAGTTACAGTTTTGGTTTATAATAATACTAATGATAATAATAACTATTGAACCACTTTCTTTGCAAAAGGGCATGGACTGTCACCTTATTTAAACAAAATGATTCTATTCTTAATGTATTTACAACATATTAGTACAAAATAAACGAACTCATTTAGCAGGTATTTGGATGTGGACCACACTACAACGTTACTACCTGGTTACCCAAACGGAAGTGAATGGAGCGAGGTTCAAACATGGGACTTGGACGATGAGAGCTGATTGCTTAAACCTCTGATTTGCCATTACACGGAATTGATGCCCGCCTACAGGAACCGGGGGTCAGATTTGAGACGTTTAGATCTACAGTTTAACGTTCTGTCAACTGAGCTGGTTTGGCGTTTTGTGTTAGTAACATACAAAGTCTAAACTTTACGTTAATTTTGACTCTACCTAATCGAGTGAATTACATCCCGAAATCGTAACAGTGTTCAAAATGAGGTTGAAACATGACTTTATATAATTTGGTCATGTTTTAGCTGACTGAATGTTCTTCTTAAAGTGAGTAGTTGCTCTAATAGTTTGTTGTTAAGGTCCATGACATTCTCATGATAATCACTTCTGAAATGTTCGTTGATCAAAGAATACAAGGGCGTACATAGTTGGCATTTGGAAAAGACATTGCTGTGATCATTCTAGATATTTGAGATGTGTACATTAGAGATACTGTTAAGTTACAGTGTATCGTACCTCATACATCAATTATCTTCTATACATCATTCAGAATTTCTACATCTAAATATAGTGACAAAAATTTTGTTCTGCCATCATGTTCATGATGATTCATAGTTTGTTACTAAATCTACTGCATTGTAGTTAATTGGAAACTTTTTTCATTTTTCTTGTAAATACCTATTTCATCTTACCATAGTCCAGTTACAGTTTTAATATTTCTTTTAGTGATTTTTAACTAGTAAAAGTCATCCAAATATTTATGAAAGTAGTCGTCTAATTCCATCTGATCATCAATCAACAACTGTATATTTCTGACGGTGCTCTATCGAATCATTATAATCACATGCCTTTTTTAAACTGACATATATGTGTATTTTCCACAGGAGTATTTCGTTTGTTTAATTTTATTCAGACAATGAAGATTAATTGTTGTATTCGTCATTAAATTGCTCGAAAATTATTAAGAAGTGCAATTTGATTACTGTTAATATTTGGAACTGCTTTTACAGATTGTCGTGAATTTTTAATACATAGTTTGAAAGTACTTGATACTCTGGCTGGTTGCCATTCGGCTAAAGCTATTTACCTTAGTATTCAAGAAGGTCAACCGGGTAAGTGATGCAAAAGTTATTGTTTTGTGTGATAAAAATAAACTCTTGATTTTCATTACGGCATGGATAATATATCCAGCTGTTGCGCATTTATAAGGATTGGTATCTAGTGACGATCGAGTTAGTTCATATGATTTAAATATAGATATTATTTTGTCCAATAAAGACGAAAATGAGGGTCAAAAACACGTAATTTTAAGAAGTTTAACGTACTCCGATCTTGTTCCGATTTCAAATACTTATTTGTGGCATTACACTTTTTCTATCTTCGTTTCCACTGTTTGAAACGTCACTGAAAATTATCACTAATTAGGCTCTTTATCTGCTTCATTACATTATTTGTTTGTATCGTGTGTACATATTTTTTCTCATATTCAGTTTACCAATGATCATGTGCACATCGAATCCCCAATCGAAAGTCACAATGAGCCGTATGCGTTTGTTGTTTTAATTAACACAAAAGCGGTACGGTTGTTCCGGCTGCATATCACCCTAGGAGTCTACGTCTTGCATTAAAACATTTGACCCAATTAAAATAAGTTGTTTTTCATTTCACTAATTTCATTGGTTCTTCTGAAATCTCACCAAAAACAGTTACACAGTTCACGTACTTACTAGACAGTAGAATTTTTAATTGAATGAAAATTGTAATCATAAGTAGGTAAGGTAGTTATCGTTACTTGATCCAAACTGTAGACTATCTATCCGTACAGTTGTTGCTTTGCCGCATGCTATTCTGGCTATTATCACTGGTTTGATTATCTTTAATATAGTTTACTGCTTTATAGCTCTGGTGGTTACTGAATTGCATAACATCGAAATATCAAGTGATTACAAATTATTGTATAACTTGGTTAAAATTCGTTGTAATCAAAGATAATAACTGCCAGTGTCTGTAAACGCGTTCAAATCTTTCAGCTGCTGAATTACTTTTTAAAATATTGGAGTTCGTGTTGTGTGGAAATGTATGCCTTCGATTACAACGTCAAAATAATTTATTTCTGTTGTATTCGGAAATAAAAAAGTAACTACGAACAGTTAAAGCCTGAAAATAATACTACACATCATTAGATTCGCAAATATTTATCTTACCATATCAGTAACCGCATTGTATTTGAGTTTCAGATACTAAGTATATAAGATATACTGTTAAGATGTTTCTGATAATATATGATGTTCATCAGTAAAAATGGATTTATATCAGTCATCAAGGTTTTGTTCATGTTTTCATACGATGCGTCATCAGAGTTACTAGTTTCATGTTAATAAATAAACTTGGTGTCGACTAAGGTGAATAGGCTCTTCCTAATTCTTGTAATTATATTCGAAGTGATAAAGTTAGCAATATATACTCATCGTTTATCCCAGAGAAGGAGAATAATGTGCTGTAGAATTCGCTTGTTTGAATGTTAATTACCCTAACTTTTACAAGAGGGAAGTACTTTTAATTAATCAATAATCGCAAAATAACACCGCATATATGTTACGGTATTTAATATTTGAGTGTAGTATCTTTTTCGGTATTTACAGAAATCGTGGCTCTCTTATTGGACAAGGCATTTGCAAATCTAAGAGTGATATATCATAGTCTGCGTATAGTACGCTCTTCTGTTCTTGATAATTTAAATTTTCTACGACACGTTCGTTTTATTGGTCGAATAGGGGGAAATATTTCCAATCATCCGTAAGTTGTGCTCACATATTTGTTTATGTTTGCTTTATTTCTTAATGTTAAATCTAACAGGCAGTAGTCCATTTTTTCTCGTTATAAACGGGGAGAATATATAAAAAAGTCAATGGCAACAGATTTTAGTTTCATATGTCAACTAAAAACCTCGTAACGAAAACTCCCAATGATATCTCATTTTAATATATGGAAACGATTTCATAGAATTGAAATTTTTTACCAGAATTTTTAACTCAATAAGAGCATTATTACTATTTGTAATTTTAATCCTGAATGAAAGTTAAGATAAGTACAAGCAAAACTATCTATTGTTTTGCCCATGAAAATCGATTTCAACAGCAACAATACATTTGAAGGGAATTCATTAACATTGTTACTGTAATATATATTTACGTTTCATATAAATGATGAATAGTGTTTGAACATCAGGTATTAGGTTCGAATCCATTTTCACATATTTCGGTCCGGAAGGGGAGTCGGTAACAAAAAAGTGGTGTGTCCCAGAGCCGAATACATAAAATCTGCATTTGGTAAGTCAGTGGCATTGGATTTTTATAAATTATCATACAGCTTATGTATTGGCTATGGTTAATAGATACAAACATCATCTTTTATAAAACTATAACCATGATCTATGTATAAGAAATATATAAGTGGTTGGCTGATTCAGTTTCAAAAGTTATGCTCAGGTTTAGGTTGTCATTATTTCGAATGGATTAGAGAAAGAGAATTTTTGAGATAAATATGAGAATGTATGAAGAATAAAGTATCATTTTTACTTCCAAGTCTTAGATTTCATAATCATCCTACAACAAATCGCTGTTATACAGTTGTCTTTCACAATACTATTGATAAACATGTTTAATATTGCCTTTATGTAAAACCAATATTTATGTGTTAATTCTTATTCAGTTGTTTGAAATCTTATCTACTAACTCACAGAATAGTTTTTGAATTATTTGGAAATGACAATTTACGTGATCTTTGGCCTATAACAAATGGTGCTAATAATACTGATGATGGCCTACAAATTTTATCTAATGGTTTAATCCGCATCACGCAGAATCGTCAGTTGTGTCCTGAGAAGATTTTTGAACTATTCGATTCTAATAAAATCAAATTAGGGGGAAATAATATCACACTTACACAAGCCGAACGTGAAATGATAACAATTACAAATGGAGATTTAGCTTATTGTAAGTTCAAATGTGTAATGTAATTTGATTAGGTGGTACCATTAACAATTTCTCACATTCTTTTTCCTTCGAACCTTTTTTAAATAAGCACTTTTATAATACAGCTTTTTAAACAACTGGATAGGTGTTTGGTCAGGTATTTCATAACGTCGTTATATATACTGATGTTTTACTTGTATTTACTTGTGTTGTTTACGAAAATGAGAGGACGGAAACCGAATGTCCAGCCCTTTAACCGGATCCCAAACCAATGGTGCACATGGGCTCCAGTATCCTGTGGGAACAAACGGCGTATGAACCAATTTCTTGGTCACCGGCTACCATGGGACTGCATCTCCTCACGATGCTCCACTACCTTGTGGGTCAAAACTTTAGGTCAAAGGCTCGGGGTGTGGCCCCCTAAGAAAACCACCTGTTTCGGTCTGGGCACCCGGGCAGTATCACAACCCATACAAAAATGATGAACTGTCTACTTATGGAAAATATTCTTCTTGCTCCGAATAACAATAAAATGACTCACATCATTATTATTACTTTTATTATTATTATTATTGTTATTATTATTGTTATTATTTACTACGTCATTTATTCACCCTCTTTTATTCCCATTCTGTGTATACTTATTTTTTGACTTATACAGCAACTCGCCTGTGGCGGAAATTCGGCTCTATCTAAACGTTTTCGAGTCAGCGCCTGGTTGGAAATCGTATGCTGCCACCAAGTACGAGTACTGAAACAGTTTTTCTGAAACCACGTGCACCATTCAAACTGGCTGCCTTCAACGAACGCACACTTATGCAGGTCGGACAACCGATAGGGCTGACTATGTCTTTGAAAAGTCTTAATATCGATGTCTGCTGTCTATTCGAGACCCGTATTCAAGACTCTGGTGAAGTACTACAAATTCGCTCTCCATCTGTCGCTTCGAAAAGCTTGTTTTACGTGCGCTTATCCGGGGACCCTGTGGCATCTTCGTCTGGTCTTGCTGGCGTTGGTGTCGCACCAAGCGCTAGAGATGAGGCAGCACTAATCGATTGGATCCCCATTAACAGTCGGCTATGTGCTGTTAGATTAGAAAGTTCCATCAAAGTGAGAAGAAACGGGCGTGAGAAACGATGTGTTTTCGTCATCTCCGCTTATGCCCCGACAGATTGCAGCCCGGATGCAATCAAGGATGAATTCTACCACCAATTATCTATTCTTCTCCAGAAAGTGCGTTCGACAGATATTGTAGTACTAGCCGGAGACTTGAATGCTCAGGTCGGACGTCTAGGCACAGAAGAGAGTCGTTTAGGTGGCCGATGGGGACTCGTTGGTCGCAGGTCAGATAACGGGGACCGTCTACTGCAACTTTGCACAGACCACATCCTGTTTCTGGCCAGCACTAACTTTCGACACAGTCATCGCCGATGTGTCACCTGGCGTCCTCCCTCTGCATCTCAAGCCTGGACTCAGATTGATCACATCGCGATCAGCTACCGCTCTCATGGTTGTGCACAAGACTGCCGCTCCTTTTGGAGTACCTATCTGGACTGTGATCATGCTCTGGTGTGTACCAATCTTACCTTACTTTTCAGTGGCCAACGAAGTGACCGCCACCAACGGATTGATGTTAGCAAGCTGGTTGCAACTTTTGTTGCTAGTAACTTTCGAATCGAGCTAGCTTCTAAGCTAGCTACCATTCCACCGAAAAGTATAGATGAGCATTGTTTGCAACTTCATGACGCTATGTAACAACTATCGGGGGATAAGTCTACTTCCGATTGCGTCCAAGCTATTGGCTTCCGTCATACTTCGTAGGTTGTTCAAAACCCGAGAAAGATTGACTCGCGAGGAGCAGGCTGGGTTTCGTTCTGGTCGAGGATGTATTGATCATATCTTCACCCTCCGCCAAATGTTAGAACACCGTCATACTTATCAAAGGCCAACAATCGTAGTGTTTCTGGACATTAGGGTTGCCTTCGACTCGTTGAACAGGACTGTTCTCTGGGATTGTCTATTGAAGAAGGGTGTGCCTGAGAAGTTCATTAACATCCTAAAGGCCCTATATACAAACACCTCAGGTAGAGTGAGGGCATACAACCACCTTTCTCCATTGTTCCATTCGAGCATTGGGGTTAGACAGGGTTGCCGAATCTCACCATTCCTCTTCAATTTTGCCATCGATGACATTCTGGAAACAGCTCTGATGGATGTAAGTAATGGTGGTGTGGATCTGTTGCCTGGAGAAAGACTTCTCGACCATGAGTACGCGATAATGCCCAAGCCATACAATCCGCACTTAATCAGTTGGCAATCAATGTCCGTAGGTATGATATGTGCTTTGCACCTTCGAAGTGCAAAGTACTTCTACAAGACTGGCAGGATTCTAATCTTGTACTCACCCTGAGTGGTGAGCAGGTAGAAGTAGTCGATAAGTTCATGTATCTGGGTAGCTGCATAAGTGCTGGTGGTGGCGTGAGTGATGAGATCACTGCACGTATGGTGAAAGCCAGAGCGGCTTATGCCAATCTGGGCCATGTTTTGTGCCTTCGTGTTGTTAGTCTGGCTTTAAAAGGTGGGATCTACAACGCATCGGCGAGAGCAGTTTCGCTTTATGCTTGTGAAACCTGACCTCTCTGAGTTGAGGATGTTAGACGACTCTCTGTGTTCGATCATCGGTCTCCGGAGGATTGCTGACATCCAGTGGCAACACCATGTTAGTAATGCAGAGGTTCGGCATCGTGTGTTCGGGCACAGAGACGATAATTCAATTGGTGTCACCATCTTGAAACACAGACTTCGGTGGCTTGGACATGTTCTACGAATGTCGTCCCAGAGAATTACACGTCATGCATAATTTGCCGACACTGGGACTGGTTGGAAAAAGCGGAGAGGTGGTCAGTGTATGACATGGTATCGTGGTATGAAAGAAAGCTGCAAAGGGTTGGCTTGTGTTGGTTCTTCACGACTCCCTGGCTGAGGTCCTAGAGATGGGGCAACACAGTGGCTAGAGGCGTTATGAGATATGGCTCAGAATAGAAGCCAGTGGCGATCCTGTTGTAACCTTCTTTTACTTTTTTCATAAAAAATGGTTGTTTCTTCCTTAACTGGAAGATTTCTTCTGATTGTACTTTTCCGTTTTCCCCGTTATTATTATTATTATTGTTATTATTACACTACATTACACTAATCTGTTCTTTTTTTACGCCCCTTAGCTCCTTTTTTTCTTTCTCTTCGAATTCTCATTGTTTTGTGTGGCGCATATATATTGGCGCTCTCTTGTACCAAGATTTATGTGTTCAAATAAAAAATAAAAAAATAAATTTACTTGTAACTTATTGATATATCATCATTTGTTGTAAATTTAAACTCAATGGTAAACGAATATTCCCAAATGAAGGTATTTTAAAGTGAACTTTTACAGAATATGAGATTTATCGCGTTGTTTTATCGACAATATGCTAGTGTTGATGAGAACATTACATTCATGTGGACACTTAACAAACCATTCACAGTTTCAAAGGCATTCGTCCTACGAAGATCCAGGTAATATGTTAGTACTGTTGCTACTTTGAAAACTGTTTATAAAACCGCACATCATATACATGACAGTATGCGTAATGATCAACTGGTTCAATGAAATGTTTAGAGACTGTTAGGTACAACTTTACTATTGTGATGGTTTTCACCAAAGACCAGATTTTCTCCTCCGATTCCACTTGTAGTGTGTTGTTAAGTATCTATCTGCTGCCCTCAGTCAGAATTATTAACAAGAAGTGACTGAGAGTGGAAATAATTTTTGAAGAATAAACCTCGTGGAAATCATTGTATGACATTCACGCTAGATTATCCTTTGGTATTTAAGCGCTAAGCTTGCGTTTCAAGGGATCAAATGGTTCTGGGCTACACGTAATGTTACACTCTACCTATCAAGTTTTTTCTATTATTTGTTACTTGGTTACTACACACAAATTATTTGGAAGTGATTGCGATCAACCTTTTTTAGTCTTCATAGATAGTTTGCCTTTATTATCCCTGTTTCGCGACAGTATAAAAAATATGCTAATCTGAGACTAGTCAACTGTAGTCCTAAACATCAGTGGGAAGATTCAAACAATCAATACGAGATTAATTAATTTAATCTGTGTTTTGTATTTTGTCATGGTATTTCCACAGCGAAATATTTTGGCTTTAAACCTCATTATGATGAAGGAAAAGATTATTTATTTTAGTTGCTATAACAGCTTTTCTGTGTGTACAAACTCAGCTAACTCCGAAACATTCTGTTTATATAAGAGAAATTTGGAGAAATTATATGTTATGATTACCTTAAATCGTTTAAAATCAATATGTCCACTTATTAATTCTATTTTTTAATTATGATTTTACACTTAGGTAATTGGCGTAAATTCGACATAAAACTTAGCGGTCTTAGTTCACATAGTGTTCGTGTTACATGGCCTTATCCGTCTACCATTCAGTTTAACGATAAATCTATGAATGATAACTTTTCAGATGGTTTAAACTCTAGTTATGTGGATGAACTTGTTTTAATATATCTTTTCTATCAGCCAGCGTGAGTTAAAATCCTCAGTCAGTGATTCTTTTATTTTTTGAAGTTGAGTAATATTTCCATGTAAAGTATTTTTAAATGGTTTAACGAAAAGGACTATCCCATCAGTTTTCCTTGGTGCTACACTCTCGACATGATGAAATGGTTACGTTGTTTGCCATTCGCTGAATATTTTAATCAGGATTAGATATTTGAAATATCAAGTTTTTACTATTTTTTGTTAGATAAACGTTCAGTTTACAATAAAGTTTTTATGAGTTTAGATTAGAATAATTACATCTACTTACATGAAACTATGCTAATCTACATATTTTTCAATGAAGAAAAGACTATGTTTTCAGTTGCTAATCGTCATCATACATACATACATACGGAAATTTTATTCATTGAATTACTGAATAACTTAACTTTTCATTTTTTTTAGCCCTAAAGATATTCAAAATATTGTCAATGACCGAAGAGTTTACGATAAGAATTCGTAAGTTGTTTGTTTTCATTCCAAAATTCTTTTTAATAAGTTTCAATTATTTTCATATATACTGCATGTGCTTCACTTTTTATGGTTAGAACATTTATTTTTAGAATAGTTAGTAAGTGATTACTAAATAGCTCAAGTAACCTTCTCAAAGTACATTGTTCTATCACAGTAAATATGATAAATTTCTCGATAGGTAAGGTAAACTTGTACATAGACTTTCTGTATGTTATGTCCTTACCTCATACTATTGTCGCGAAATATGATTGCCAATTTAGATACTCTGACTTATACCATAGAAAGGTGATCTCAGCAAGTGTGATAACTACAGAAGCATCACCCTTCTCTCAATACCATGAAAAGTCTTCAACCGGGTGTTGTTAAACAGAATGAAGGACTCCATAGACGCCCAACTTCGAGACCAACAGGCTGGATTCCGTAAGGATCGATCATGTACCGACCAAATCTCAACACTAGAGATCATTGTAGAAAAATCAATTGAATGGAATTTGCCACTCTACATCAACTTTATTGACTACGATAAGACATTAGATAGCGTGGACAGGACGACACTATGGAGGCTTCTTTGACACTACGGCGTGCCTGAGATGATAGGCAACATCATACGGAATTCTTATAATGGACTCAACTGCAAAATTGTGCATGGATGACAGCTCACAGACTCGTTCGAATTAATGACCGGTGTCCGCCTGTAGGTCTTCTAGAGTTACTGCCGGTCCCGAGCCCGGGTAAAGGAGGAGGGTTGGGCATGGGGTTAGCTAAAAAACGCTTACCAGAAAAATTATTCAAACCATTTAAACTCTGCCCTGAAAGTTAGAAGGTCTTCATTTAGAAGAATTATGACGCTTCATGGTGAAAGCCAAGTTCCTTCGGAAGCCACGAGGCCGATGCCCCTTCTAACAACCAGAGCAACAATTTTTATAGGTACATGGAATGTCCGAAAAGTGCGGGAGACCGGGAAGACCAGTCAAATAGCAACGGAAATGGGGAGATACAACTTGGCAGTACTGGGAATCAGCGAAACCCATCGGACCCAAGCTGGACAACAAAGGCTAAATACGGGAGAGATGCTGCTATACTCCGGTCACGAAGAGGAAAATGCTCCACACACTCAGGGAGTTGCCCTAATGCTGTCCAAAGTAGCACGAAATGCACTTGTAGGATGTGAATCTCACCGATCCAGAATAATCAAAGCATCATTCAAAACAAAGAAGCAGGAGATTACAATGAATATTATCCAATATTATGCACCCACCAATGATAGCAACGACGACATTAAAGATCAGTTCTACGAGCGGCTGCAGTCAATCATAGAGAAGTGCCCAAGAAACGACCTCACCATTCTGATGGGAGATCTAAATGCCAAAGTCGGAATAGACAACACCGGATATGAAGATATCATGGGACGACATGGACTGGGAGAGAGAAACGAAAATGGGGGAAGATTTGCAAATCTGTTTGCCTTCAACAAATCGGTCATAGGCGGCACAATATTTCCACACAAACGTAAACATAAAGCTACATGGATTTCACCGGATCACACCACAAAGAACCAGATAGATCATATTTGCATCAATAAGAAGTTCCGAAGGACAATGGAAGATGTGAGAACCAAGAGAGGAGCTGACATAGCTTCAGATCACCATCTAGTTGTGGCCAATTTAAAACTGAAGCTAAAGAAGAACTGGAAAACTGGACAAACAGCACTACAAAGGTTCAATACAGCCTTCCTTCGAGATACTAACAAAATCAACGAATTCAAGATAACTCTCAACAACAGGTTTCAAGCCTTACAGGATCTACTGAAGGAAGAAGAAACTACTATGGAGGGCAAGTAGAAAGGTATCTAAGTGATAAGTCTTGCGAATTGAACGCTATATTCATTCCAGAGCTACTCAGATAACCCGCAAGCTAGAATTACACAGCGACCTAAACACCAGAGAGATAACGCAAATTATGAGAGAAATACTTCACTCCAAGGTTCGCTTTTGTACAGAAAACATGCGTATTTATAGATGTTAGCGTTTGTTAAATCAACGTCATATTTCGGCCAATCCGTTAACGACATATTATGCTACTGACCAATAGTAGCACGCCATGTTGGAATTCTAGAATGCTCCATCATGCTCTGATTGGCTAGGACTCTTCGGCTCCTTTTGGGCCTCTGGAGGCTCCGTTGAAGTTCTCCGAAAGCTGACTCAACACCAAGAAGCATTAACTTCAACGTGTCAAGAGGTTCTGGGTCTAAAGAAGCGTCATAATAAGGAATGGATCTCTACAGAAACACTGGACAAGATCAAAGAAAGGAAGATCAAGAAGACAGCAATTAACAACAGCCGAACACGAGCACAGAAAGTCCAAGCACAGGCTGAGTACATTGAAGCAAACAAGCAAGTGAAGAAGAGCATTACAGCTGACAATAAGAAGTACGTGGAAGAACTAACAACGACGGCGGAAAAAGTTGCAAGGGAAGGAAATTTGAAACAACTTTACGACACAACGAAGAAACTAGCAGGGAAATATAGTAAACCAGAGAGACCGGTTACCGACAAAGAAGACAGGCCAATCACTGAAATTCAAAAACGGTTGAACAGTTGGGTGGAGTACTTCGAGGAACTCCCGAATAGGCCGGCTCCAACGAATCCACCGGACATCGAAGCAGCACACATTGATCTTCCTATAGATGTCACTCCACCAACGACGAAAGAAATTAGAATGGCCATCAGACAAATCAAGAGCGGGAAAGCAGTAGGACCCGACAATATACCAGCTGAAGCACTGAAGTCAGACATCGAAGTAACTACAAACATGCTTCACCTTCTATTCAAAAAGATTTGGGAGGAAGAACAAGTGCCGATGGACTGGAAAGAAGGACACCTCGTCAAGATTCCAAAGAAAGGAGATCTGAGCAAATGTGAAAAATACAAAGGCATTACTCTACTGTCAGTACCATGGAAAGTCTTTAACAGGACAGCTGACAGATGCACGCCAAGTAAAGACCGGAGTCAGACGAGGCTGTCTACTCTCTCACTCTTCCTCTTTCTTCCGGTGGTCGACTGGATTATGAAGACCTCGACATCTGAGGGAAAACACGGAATACAATGGACTGCTCAGAATCAATTAGACGATTTGGACTTCGCAGATGACCTAGCCCTCCTATCGCATACACAAGAACAAATTCAGATAAAGACAGCCAGTGTAGCAGCAGTCTCTGTATCGGTAGGCCTCAGCATACACAAGGAGAAAACCAAGGTCCTCAAATGCAAAACGAATAACAGCAATCCAATCACTCTTGATGGCAAAACTCTGGAAGATGTAGAATCCTTCACACACCTGGGAAGCATGATCGATGAACAATGAGGTTCAGATGCAGACGTAAAGGCGAGAACTGGCAAAGAAACGTCCGCATTCCTACGATTGAAGAACATATGGAACTCAAAACAACTTTCAACCAATATCAAAGTCAGAATCATCAATACAAACGTCAAGGCAGTCAGTTCTATTGTACGGAGCTGAAACTTGGAGAACTACAACAACCACCATCATCAAACATGTACAAGTATTTATAAATAGCTGTCTACTGAAGATACTCAACATCCATTGGCCGGATACCATCAGCAATAGCCTTCTGTGGGAGAGAACAAACCAGCTTCCAGCTGAAGAAGAAATTAGGAAAAGACGATGGAAATGGATAGGACATACATTACGCAAATCGTCAAATTGCATCACGAGGCAAGCTCTAACTTGGAATCCTGAAGGGAAGCGGAAAAGAGGAAGGCTAAATAACACATTACGTCGGGAAATAGAAGCAGATATGAAAAAGATGAATTACAACTGGAAGGAGCTGGAAAGGATTGCCCAGGACAGGTTTGGATGGAGAATGCTGGTGAGCGGCCTATAATCCTTCACGAGGAGTAAGAGGTGTAAGTAAGTAAGTCCGCCAAGGTTGCTTACTCCCACCTTTTCTCTTTCTCCTGGGGATCCACTGGATTATGAATACTTCAACATCTGAGGGGAAGCATGGGATACGGTGGACAGCTAGGATGCATCTGGATGACTTAGACTTCGCAGATGATCTGGCTCTCCTGTCGCACGTGCAACAACGAACGCATGAGGAGACAACCAGTTTAGCAGCAACCTCACCAGCAGTAGGTCTCAACATACACAAAGAGGAAAGCGAGATTCTCCGATGCAACAGAGCATACAACAATCGAATCACACTTGGCGGAGAAGATTTGGAAGATGTAAAAATCAATACATTTCTTGGCAGCATCATTGATGAGCACGGTGAATCTGGTGCAAACGTGAATGCGAGGATCAGCAAAGCAAGAGCAGCATATTTACAACTGAAGAACATCTGGAACTCAAAACAATTGGCAACTAACACCAAGGTCAGAATTTTCAATACATGTGTCAAGGTAGTTCTACTCTATGGGGCGGAATCTTGGAGAACTACGTAAACCATCATCTAGATGACACAAGTGTTTATTAACATTTGTCTACACAAAATACTTTGGATTCGTTGGCCAGAGACTATCAGCAGCAACTTACTGTGGGGGAGAACAAAACAGATCCCAGCGGAGTAAAAAATCTGGAAGTGGATGGAACACACATTGAGGAAAGCACCCAACTACATCACAAGATAAGCCCCCTCTTGGTATCCTGAAGGTCAAAGAAAAAAGGAAGACCAAAGAACACATTACACCGAGAAATGGAGGTAGACATGAGAAGAATGAACAACAATTTGATGTAACTAGAAAGGAAGGTTCAGATCGGCGGCATATGCTCCATTGGGAGTAACCGGAGTAAGTAAGACTTATACGACCCAACCAGTGACGCATACACTAGTACGGGCAGTCTAGAGTTCCGATTGGTCCTCTTTCCGCCAAACGCAACCTGTTAAGTCCAGAACGCCAACCTCAGCCTCCACTATAGGAATCCTATATTTCAGACATACTTGGTTTATTTATAAGCAAAATCAAACCACAATACACCCTAAAACAGAAAGTAACATTTGTACAAGATCAAACTAAAAGTGGCTGTGATTTTCAGAAACTGTTATTAATAAATTGGGAATAGTAAATGGTGTGATAATAGTCAATAAGTCAAATAAAAGCTTATAATGGAGGGACTATGAATATACATATAATATAGTTACTTAATAGTCATACAATAAGAATATTCGTTTAATATTAGTTCACAAGTAATGCCTAGCTGTTACCATTCATTTATTCTCGTGCGGATATAACACTATGTATATTAACATAAAATGTACACTAGATTGATAAAGGTTAGATTAAAAGCTATATGTACATGTGTTAGCGGGACATAGACTGGATTAAAGCATGCTCAATGCATGATTGCTTGGCTGCACGCTGATTGGCTAATTCTTATCCAATCAGCACTAGTCGATAGTTGGAGAATACTCTGGAATCTTCTTATGTAAAAACTATAAATATACTGACGTTTTCCCTATTATGCTTCTGACTTGCTTCTTACTTTCATCTAATCCTTGTTATTTGGAATATAATCTCTTTCCTGTTCAACCGTGTTTTGATTTGGGGACTTGTCGAGTGAATCGGTGTCCGAGAATACTAAGCAATAGGAATAGCTGGGTCATAACCGTAAGAAAGAGAGATTTATAACAACATGGATCATAGCCTATCCATTTTTTTCAGTTGTATACAGTTTGGCATTCTTTTACCAAATAAATGATTCCGTGTAGTAATTGCGGGGTTTCTTTTTTCCTCTCTCACACATACATGTAGATTATTAATTAATTAATTCATTTGAACACATAAATATTAGTACAAAGTGGTACCAGATACATATGCGCCACGCGATAACAATTAGGATGTAAAGAGATAAAGAATGTTAGGTGCGTATAAGAAAAAGGGGAACAATAACGAACAGAAATTAATGTATGACAGTAAAATAATAATAATGGGAGGGACAGTTCAGTTAGCAAAGGTACAACCAGGAAGAATTCTTCTAGTTAAAGAAGTTAGTTCCATTTTTTATGAAGAAAGTAAAATAAAGTTACAGTGAGATCTCCACTGGTTTCTATTCTGAGTCATATCTGATAACGTCTCTAGCTACTTTTGCACCATCTCTAGGATCCCAACCAGGGAGTCTTGAAGGACCAACAAAAACCATTTCTGTACAGCTTTCTTTCATACCATGACACTGTCATGAACTGACCACCTCTATGCTTTTTCCAACCAGTCCCAGCGTCGGCAAATAATGCATGACGTCGAATTCTCTGGGACGACATTCGTAGGACATGTCCAAGCCCCCGAAGTTGATGTTTCAAGATGACGACACCAATTGAATTATCGTCGCTGTGCCCGAGATGCAGTTCCATGGTAGTCGGTGACCAACAATTAGTTCATACGCCATTTGTTCCCTCAGGATACTGGAGCCCATATGCACCATTGGTTTGAATTCAGGGTTTTTCCAACTCCCCTAGATGGACCCTCCGTGTCCACCAACCTGGCGATTGAAATCCCGAAACCTAATTGATAACACAGAACAATGGGATACCTATCTTGTTTCTACTCTTGCAGCCCATTTCGTTAGGCTCTGACCCTACTTCTCACTGAAATTCGGGTTAACTTTCAATTTAATTATTAATAAAAGCTATGGAATTTCCATTTTAAATGTTCATCATAACTTAAATGTCTATTATGCTTCTTTGTTTTGATATAAGTTTTGGGAACTTCCTAAGAAATTCAATAGTACGCATTTTAATTCTATGATATCTATTTGATAAGTAGCTTAGACTAGAAATATTTCGTTTTGCTACTACACTAACCAGATATACTTATCGTTCCGATTTCCAGTTATTAAGTCTCAGGATGGAATATTGACTAACATGTAGATCACACTAATTATATTAATCATGACTTATTTTTATAGATGGCGTATGTTAACAGCATCATGTGATTCAAATCCTGGAGATAATGTTCGAAAACTTCCGCATTTAGAATTCGATTGCGGATTAACTTTATTTAAATTAGAATCTGCTATGCGTTATGTTGTCTACGTGGAGATGAAATTTCCTCTGAAACAAACTGGCGCTATTAGTAATTTGGTTTACTTCACAACATTATCGATCAGTAAGTTAAAACATATATCATATTCCCAAACATATACATGTATGTTTGTGTATATACTTTTAACAGGCATCTAAAAGTTTAGTTTTGAAAAAAACGCTTTTGATGTAGAAGATAGGTTAGTCAGGGAGTTACCGAGAAATCGGGTGTCCGTAATTCGTGAATTACACATTTGGACTTTTTATTATTCTTAGTTTCGATTCTAGAACTTCTAAGCCTTATGATTTCCATGCTACTCTTCGGGTATCGAATTGAAATCCCGTAGTCTTTACTCTCGGTATCTGATGAATTAGTTTGTATCGGGGCTTATATGAACCTATATTCAGGCTATCATACCAAATCGACTTCCGATAAACCGAAACCTTCGTTCACGTTCATGCTCTATTGGTGCTGTTATGTTGTTGTGCCTAAAACGAAGAAAATCTCTGTCTTATGGATTTATAATTTGCTGCTATTAACAAACTAATAAACTTTTTAATGAGTCTGATCTTATGTATTTCTTAACTTGACTGTCAACCCAATTCACTTATGTAGTCAAGTGTACTGTAATCAAATATAATTAATTGAATCTAACCCATAGTATGCATCGTATTTCATAAGTCAACTACTAATTCTGATAGTAGTAAGCTCATGTTCATCAAATACATATACAATATGTTATACATAATGTATAGTCTCACTATAAGTTCATGATGATTGGAGTTGTAGGTTGACATTGTGTTGACTGTGCTGTGAGACTCCAATGAGTTAGCGATGTTTATTGTAACCATAGTTTTCGCGGTAAAGGTTACATTTTAAACCATATAATTGGATTTCAAAACTACGTCATTTGTGCCAATTTTGATGTGTAGTGTCTTAAAACATCCACCCTAGATTCTAAGCTATAACTGTGAAGATAATAAATGCTGCTTAAGGGATAGCGAATTATTGATCGGACCAAAGACGCGCAAACACGTAGAACGACCTAGGGTTCTGATTGGTCTCGCTTCCCTGTCTAGCCCAGTCAATTGAGTCCAGAACACAAGTCACAGCCTCGGAGATATGAATCATTATATTTCAAACATGCTTTGTTTATATACCATTCAAGCAGTCCACAACGTACCATAAAATAGAAGATAATATTGTACAACAATGGCCAACAAATAATATTGACCAACAAGATGATACCATTTCATGTCCAAGAATAGCATTAGGCTTGACAGGATAATTTTTGGGATATTTTCCTGAATATCCCAACATAAGCACACCACAAAACTCGATAATCATACAATTTTTAACATGAGACTTACGTCGAACCTGCCAGTTATTGTCTTTATATATTTATAGATCCATCTCCTCCTCAGTATTCCTGGTTGGAACCTGTGGATAAACATTCACTTCGCTTAACGTGGATGCCACCAGCTAAACCAAGTGGGATCATTGATACTTATTTGATATGGATTCATATTCTTGAAGATAATCCATCCGATTATTTGACAAGGGATTTCTGTATACACAGTGAGTTTATATGTATATCTGTAAACACTAATTCATCATCTATACTTTTGTCCTGTCATCGAGAATTTCTCTATTTGTCTTGTTCAATTTAGTTGCATCAGTCAAACTGTAGACTTGTTTTTTATCATAAACGTTGGCATGTAGTCCAAACTTGAATCGCATTGAAAATCATTATTCTTTGCATATTTAATTGTTCGTTTTAGAACCTAACTGGATCCACTCGGGTTGGGATACAAATTTACCGTTTGAACACACAGATCATATTAATTTTGAAAGGGGTTATTGTGATTCTTGTCTGTCTTGTCCTAACTTGCATGAAATTGAACAACTTTCAAAGTTAGTGTTTTACGTTCTTTTTTCTGATTGGTCAAATATAAAAGAAGTGTCTGATTTTTATATTTGCTGATTTATTTAATTTTTCTGAAGACGCATAAGAGTAACAGAGAATTAATTAGTTATGATAATTTTCTTGCTCTTTGAGCTTTGATAGAGTGATTATGAATATTTTTATCACAATGTTTAATAACTTAACATCAAACTAAGTGTTTTAGCCATCGAAAACATTTAACATGCGAAAAAGTATCTGTTCATTATATTTATTTTATTGGTTTACAATCTGTTGATACCTTATAAATCTCTATTCAGCATTGTTTGCACTTATTGTATTCATTATTAAACTCTCAGTAAAATAACGTTGTCTTTCATACATTGATATTTGCTAACTATATCATGGAATTTATTAATTTATTAGAAACGCTTAATGATGTTTTGTTTAATACAGTACTTAGCTAGAATTATATCTCAATGGCTAAATTGCTAATTTATGGTTTTTGAGACATTGACTCATTCGACAAGATTTTCGGAACAATAATAGAAATTTTCCTTTTGAAACCGATAGTCTGCCTTTTTAATGAATCTGTTTGATTGAATGTACGTCGTATAAGGGTTCTCGAATTAGGATAAATTTTGTTTCAGTGCGATGATTTTCATTATGTTTTAGTATATTTGTCAGTCTATATACAATCATTAATAAATCCCAAAGATATTTTCGCTTCTGTGACACGGTCTTTAAACTTCAGGATCCCATTGAGTGCCTTTGACGCAATGGGATCCCAACGTATTTTTTAAATACTAAAAGATTGCATATTGTAACTTAATTCAGGACATACCTAAACAGTATTGTTTTCAATCAGATTCTCATCAGTCTTTTTTCTAATGTACAGTAATATTTATCATCATTTTGTGTATTCTCTTTATAAGGCTCTACACTTGTAAATCAACAATTATTGTTACTTTACGGCGTACAAGATGTTAGAGTTGGATTAATGCGTACTGCAAATTGAAAACCTCTAGTTTTTACGTCGATTGGGTTATAAATACTACAACTCTTCAATATCACCATGCGCTCGGTATGTAGGATTAAAATAACTTACAGATGAGTTTCTGAATTTGTTTCTAGGCTGTCGAGCATAAAGTCTTTGCGTGGCCAAAGTCAAGACAAGTAAACTGTTTAGCGTGATTTATTGTTCATCAGTAGTTGACATGTATGTATATATGTCTTGTTTATTGTAATATTTTTAGTATACAGACAATTTCATCTTCAAATGAAAATTATTGGCCCTCGTCTGTGAGCAAATGGATGACAGATGATTTTGGGAACATTTTGCCAGTATATATTGGTAATGCCTTCATATATATATATATATTGTATAGTTAGGGATTTTCAATTTTTAATCTAGTCTTCACATGCGCTGTCAAAGGAAGTTCTTTTAAGCGGTATCACCATGTTATGGAGGTTTTTTAATGAGTTATGAGACGAACTTGTGGGTTGATAAAATCAATAAACTCAATGATATAGTACATCTGGATCATGGCTACTCATAAGACCGTACTGTTTGCCCAGACCCCGAATGATTTGATATATAAACCAAGACCACCTTTGTATGTAAACTATGAACAGGAAATAAACCTAATGAAATGTCTTGGGCGATTGGATGAAATGAATTTGTGAGTAATCCTTCGGTCGATTAAGACCTAACTTAGATCAAATCTTTGGGAATCGTGTCACATCAGGCCTCACATCAAAAAGTTTCAAAGCCAATTTCAAGAACTGTTATTGAGTTACTGCATATCTCGCATCATGTCGCTCATCCTAGTATACAATTGGGTGCCATTGATGGAGTTGGATAACCAGCTATCAGTTTATCTATACATATGCTTTACTAAAGACATGCACAAATAGGTATTGTACTGAAGTAAATAAATACTCAGCTACTACTGACCCTTGTTAGTTGGTTACCATAATCTAGTTTGTTTCCCTAAAGGAAAATCCACTACATAAAAGATATGTCAACTTATTTACATAGTTGTAGATGCTTTGTTAACTTATATATGAATTTTAAATTACTCAAGATAATAATATGCATTGTCCCTTAGATGAGATAGCGTTTACTTTATACGCGATATTATTTCTTCTTCAATAATTCAAGATTATCATTGGACTACTCTCTTTGAAAATAGTTACAAAATAATGGATTTCCTTACCATGGATAACAACGCCGATATGTTTGGAATAGGTCCTCTCACTCTGAATGCATAAGGTTTTTTCAAGACTGGTCTACGTCAACGCATAGAATAATCGTAATAAATGACGTTGAGTGAGTTGATCACTTCATCTATGTTTGCGAGTTTATGTCTAACGTACACCCGGTTTCCATTTAGTCCCTATTTAACTCAAGTATTTTCTGCAACTCAACTTGCATTCAACTGGTATTTATGCATCACGGGTTAGCATTAATTCCTATCTTTCCAAAAATAATAACGCATATGAAATTGGTTCATTTTCTTCCTTTTAAATCATGTTTTAAATTTGATTCACCTCAAATTATTTTACCTATTCGTTAACTTTTCTGTGTTATTTTTTATAGTGGATGAAAATTTTTCACTCAAATCCGGTACAGTAGGTCTAATTGTACAAAAAAACATTTCAACTTATTTCAAAGATATTTCATATTTCCAAACGAATTCTCATAAAACTTGTATTCAGTCAGTTAATGAAAATGTAAAATATTTAACAGGATTGTCACCATTTACAAGAGTACTTGTTGAAATACAAGCTTGTTTAGTAAGTTGGAAATCGGCCGTTGTTTCAGTCTTCTCTCTCTGTTTATTCTCGTTAAAAAGAAACTTTTGATACGTTCTACGTTTTCTTTAAAAGAAATGTATATTAATCTTATTAATTAATAACAAAATATGGTAAGATCAAAAATTGATTTTAGCCTATCATTTTGTTTGGCCTTTATAAATTTATTTTGTCGGTTCGAATATTTGATTGTTGGTTAAAATTAAAACAAGCATCTAACGACTCTGGGATGTAGGTACATCCAACTGGCTAGTCCCAAACAGGACGAAATGCGCGTTCTGAATTCCACTTCTAGCCATATTTCATCTATTCTGCATAAACAAAGAATAGTTTTAATTTTTAATTGCAAGTTTCTATTTATAGTGTACATTTACAAACTTCTACTAGTAGCTTTTTAAATAGTATGGTGTGTTTCATTTATCTTTATTTTTTTGATGCTTTAGGAGTACGATTCAATTTCTCATGAAAGATCATTAAAAACAAAATGTAGTCACCCACCACCTTGGTTTAATAGGAAATCTGGAAGTATTGTTAATCTCAATCAACATCAATGGGCCGCCTGCGAGTATGAACTATGCAGTCCAAGATCTACTGTGATAAATCGTGTAAATCCTCATGGTACGTTTTTTCGACCACTCATAGTATATTTCTTATGAATTTCTCTATGTTTATGATAACTGATTCATTTACTCCTCTGTATTGTAAGAGCATTTGACTCTAATATCATGTGATCTCTGTATCTCTTAGACTGATCCTTCTATATAACGAATTCTGATAACAATGGTATATTGTGTCGTATACGAGATGTGTTTGAAAGAGATCCGAATCAATAAATTCAGCGTGCCACATGTATCTAAAGTGCAAGGATTGTAGGGAGTTTAAAATTTTATTGTGTTAATTTATGTAGTGATCAATCGTTACGTGCTGTGTGGGTTCATTTGCCACTCAACGATGTAGTGAGTGGGATTGATATGGCAATTAATTGTAGTGTACGTTATTGTGTTGGTTTTTGTAGTTCAAACAGATCATTGATAAGTTGGACATATACGGTCAGTCGCACATGTATAGAAATTGTACATGGATAGAATCTCATAATTATTTGTCTGAATGAGTACAACGTAATTTATAGTATTAAAATGATACATTTAATAGTCACACGAGTGTTCTCTCTTATAGTGATAAATCATACAAGGCTTCCAAAAACTTCCCATGCAGACTCATCACGGAGAGACTATAGGTGAATAACACGGAGCTTTTAAGGAATGCATTAGTCATGGAGCCAAATGAACTCCGTTGTAAATGGATTTTGTTCAGTCGTTGAAAAAACCAGTTAATCAGGTCGTGAAAATGAGTCAACTACGATCGAAGTTACAACACTATAAAATTACTAACTAATCACTAAGACTATTTTATTGTTTTTTGGTTTTTCCCCTATTTCCAGTCGAATCTGATATCATTCCTGTATCCTCAATTTACGCATCGACTACTGGTCCAGGCAGTGTACGTATTACATGGTCCAGTCCTATTAAACCGAATGGTTTAATTATACATTATATATTACGTTATAGACCAAGAAATCATGACAATCATACAGATAATTATTCATTTTCGGACATGGTAAATTTACCGGTAGATATTTAAAATGACCACTTTTTTTTATCCAATCATAATGTCTCTCTTTTTTAAAATAGCAAATTATAGGTCGTGATAGATTTAGATTGCAAATAAAATTATCTATGAGGTTATCAATAAATAGTTCATAGTAATGAATTCTGAAGTATTTTGTTCTGCCAATTGTTTGTCAAAAAGAAAACTGTATTCTACATTTTCCAAGAAAAGTAAAACGATTAAACTAAAAATGATGGGAATGAAATATATATTCAAGTGATTTTGAATTGATTATTTTACATTCTAGTGTTATTGTTGTGAAAGACAATGACAAAGTAAATTGCAATAAAGTGACCACTTGCTTTAATACCGAATTATATTTTATACAAAAGAGTTCGTAGTTTTTCTGCTAAATAGAACAGAAAATTGATCGCTTATTTAGTTTTTTTTCCTGACATCAACAAACTGCGAAGTAACATTAAAATTGAATGTGTATAGCTTGTTGAAGCTATTTTTGTCTGTCGACTGGTGATTTTTACATTGTCTACGGAATGAAACTTAATCAACCAACTACTTTCATTAGGTCTCTGGGAGTACTTTTTACCTCGAAATGTAGTACACAAATCTGTGATTAGTCGTTTGTTCCTACTAACTTTATTTTTTTGTCTACTGTTCTCTATTTTTTTTTACATTCAATAAAAAGCAATATGTTAAATATTGCTCTGCTAAAGGTTTTTTAAGCTATCAGATATATTGTAAAACTTTTTTGACTAAAATATATGATTTTCAACTCATTAAATAATCATACAACTCATAAATAAATGTTTAGTCAATAGAGATGTGACTTCATTAATATAGACACTCTTATCATCACACCATAAATTTATTATACTAAACACTTTGTATTCCTAATTTATTTCCAGTCTGTACCATGGTTAACAAAATGTATACCTCTAAGCCATTGGGCAACAGTCAAACCAGAACAGAAATCATTAACTTCAAGTTTATTTGCGGGTTTTAATAAAAAGATGGTATCACAAAGTGAACGTGATTCTAATGGTAACAGTAATACTGCTGAAGGCGGGATCTTAATCAAAGATCTGTCGCCAGGTAGCTATGAATTTCAAATTTTAGCCATTTCGCTTGCTGGTAGTGGAGAATGGAGTCCTACTGGGATTTTCAATATTCCATTCTATATAGATCATAATGGCATAGTAAACCGTATGTTTATTAGATTTTCATTATCCATAATTTATATCATCTCGTTATTTTAAATCCATGTACAGTAATTATTAACACGATAATTTGACTAGTTACATTTGTATTCATTGTTCTCTGTCACTAATAATATCTGCTAATGATTCTGTACTTTAGAAACACACTCATTCTAAAACAACAGTGGGTTCAAGTCGACAATATGTTTGTATGAACCAATTCTCTTATTTTAAGTAAAGATGGTTACCATCTATCCACTATCTTATAAAAAGGGTGATGAATTTTGTTATTTCGAATTTAATTTTTAGAATCTTCCTGTTGTCGATATTTAAAATATGTCCAACTAACGATTCCTATATAGTGCGAAACATGCATTATAGATCCCATTTCTAGCTCGAATACTGGTAACTTAATAGCAATATCTCGACAATCCGCTCAAGATGCACAGTCTCATCAAAATTCAGTTCTTAAAATCGACAACAGAATGATCCGAAAAGTTAGAGAGAAAATGATTAGAATTCTGATTGTTAACTTATTTGATAATATGTGACAGACTTTTGGAATGTTATAATTTTGTCGATCATATAGAAATAGGTTTTGTCAATCATAGATATCATAGAATAAGTTTATTTCTGACAAACAATGTAGGTGATTATTTAAAACGTACTTCAGCGATCATAGAATATGAAGTGTTATTTTTAAAGGTGAATTTACATTTTGTATGGACAAATGTTTATAAAATATTTAAAAGTTATAACATATAGTATTCCGATGCTTCATATTTAATCAACAATCAATGTGTTGCGTTGAATACTTGGATCATTTTGGTAGCTAATTGTGTTTTCAATTTTCTAGTTACGAATTTCTCTCTTACATTTCTCATCAGGATGTCATTAATTTTGACAGTATCATTACACAAAACATGATTTCCTTTCAATGAGCTAGTTCCTAGTTTAATGACGGTGTTGGATTCTCTTGATTTTCATTGCGATTCACCAAGATACTTTTAAAATTTAGAAGCTAAAAGGTCATGAATTTATGTACATAATTGTTTCATTCTTGAAAATTAAATTTCAGATAGAAAACTTGCAAATATTTGCACAATCACTTTAGGTGCACTTCTGTTGCTCTGTTTCATTTTGGGGATTATTTGGTATAAAGCACGTCGTTAGTAAGTTGTGTTCAATTTTGTTATCGTTCCATTTTTTTACAAATGAAGAAACCCATATATATCGTAAATTCTCTCGTAAATATTCTTTTTTTCTAAAGCCAATTAAATCAATTGATAAAAGACAGATTAAACGTATTGCCTACTGTAAAATTAATTCTTTTTGTTGCCTTTGTGTAACTGTCTACGAAATAATTGTTTGTGTACATTCAATCAAAAAAGTATATCGTATTAAAAATACTGTTCAATCTGCTTACGTTAATCATCTGAACATCATTTAGTAAACACAGTCTGCTGTTATCCACTGATGTTTATTCTCCCTACTCGTCTGACATTCGCTTACATCAGTTAAATATTTTGTGCCTTACTCTTGAGTAAACATCTAATAAAGTATTGACAATTTCAAAAGACGTAGTTAATTTCATAGTTGTATACAAAGATTTGCTCTGTTAATTGGTTCAAGTCGATCGACAAGCAAACCCAGACTTAGGTTTTATACTAGTTATCATTAGTCAGCTAAATAATACATAGGGGAACTGATACTACTTGTGGGATTGGTACTTTTATCAGCTAATGATATAACTACATATATTTGGACTGCAACTAACCTCTTGTAGAACTTAGATCATGTGATAAACAGTTTTGTTCAGAATTTCCTTACGTGAATTCCATGAACCACTGGACGACAGAATATTTAAAATTATACTAACTTCAAGTCTATGGTTGTTGAGATCTTTTGAAAATAAAGATTGCTTACATTCTATTGTCTGTGCTTAATGCAAATAATTTATTTATATTGATTTTATATTTATCTTTCTTTACATAGTTATTTAAAGGCTACAGCTTGGACATCAAACAATCCTGATTACTGTACAATTTATGAAGTTGACGATTGGGAAATTACTAAAGACGATGTTGATGTTTTACATTGGAAATATCCAATTGGTCGTGGTAGTTTTGGTACTGTATATAAAGGTGTTGTAAAACAGTTGAAAACACCAGCTAAATTATTTTATAAAAATCCAGTAAATATACCTGTTGCTATTAAGGTAGGTAGGTGATATTCTTCAATAGTTTTTTCATCTATTAAATAAATTGTTGTTATGAGTGTTTCTCGTATTCTGATGCAATTAACAGTTGGTATTTTACTTTTCATTATACTATCATCGCCATTAAATATTTTCCATTTTCTATTATAAAATATATTGATTCGATTATGCGTATCTTTTATTTACTGTTCCAAGTCCACTTTCAGCGGTGAACATCGATTGCCAAAATAATTGTCCACACATTAAATTAGTTCACTTGTGTGTATATACCAATTCAACTTCTCCTGCATAATTAGTCACGTAGGCCGCATTCAGAGAGCTTTATCCTTGTGTGTTTGTAAACATGTATCAGCATGGTTGGGAAAAGGAGTTACTAGATCGATTGACAGCGCAATTCTTTCTCACTTGATAGATGGTGAACATCTTACTAAAATAGATGGAGCTTTCCCTGTTTTATATCAAGTTTCAAACAGTCTACCTAAAAAAGCTAAATTACGACTACTCTGCATAGCTGAAGCCATCTGGATAAACTCCAGAAAACTCAGCTTGTGTATTCAAAAGAGGTATATTCAGCTTTTGTGTTTGCCTTGGTCCATAACTGGGTCACCAGATACCTAAACTGGGGATTATGGACCCCTTACCACTGCTTCCAATTTCTTTTGTGTTAATATCTTTTTTAATTTACATATTCATCTTTACCGATACCTCTTTTTTTTACATATATTCACACGTTATTATTAACAAGACTAAATTTTCCTACTGTGCATTTTATTCACACGATATTTTATTTTGTCACATTACTATTATATCGATTATGACTTGACACTTTACTATAAATCATTCTCACTTTCATTAAGTGACCTTTCTAATTTACAAATAGCACAATTTTGGAATATTTATATCGTAACAGATGCAAACGTCCACCATGTTTAACATACAACATCGTCTAATTCATTAATACATGCCTTATTTTGGCCTTTGTAAAATATCATAATTATGGACTTATCACTAGAGTCTGATGATGAAGTTATTGAGAAAAATTGTTTGCTCAAATATTCTTGGTCCACTTGTGTTTGATCTTCTTTCTTTTGTGTTCTCTTTATTAGACAATCAGCATACACAGCACTTTATTTGATCATCGTGATTTCATTAATGAAGCATGCTTTATGAAACAATTTCAAAGTTATCATTTAGTACGTCTACTTGGTTTAGTAACTCAAACCAAGCATAAACATCAATCGGTATCATTTACTGATCAATGTATGAAATTGTTACATAATCATCATTTTGGCAAACTGGGTCGCTTTGTCAGTCGAATTTTAAAGTGGACACCAACTTCATCATCATCACCGCCAAACGTAAAACAATCTTCTCTGCTTTCCTCGTCAATATCACCTCCATTAGGCAATCAGATGTTAGATGATGAAAAGCTTAATTGTCACACTTTGGGTATGTAATGTGTTTATGTATTCTGCTTGGTTTTTTTCTACATTCAAATTGATATATGTTCATTCGTTATAAGAAATCGTACTTCTGTCTTCCTTGTAAAAAAATTGTTTGGAAAAAATTATTTTAAATAAACGTTTTCAGTGAATGCTTGTGTAGCTTGCGTTCATTGTTACCTCCAGTACTGATTCACTAGATGTGAAAAGAAAACCTTATTATCAAACACTCGTCAGTGGTGGTGTAGTTGCAGATGAATTGACTCATTTATTAATATACTTTCGAGTTCATGAATTATCTTTGAATGTTACCGAGATCTATAATCTGAAACGATCCAGTTTGCAATTTTCTCAGATGTTTTAAATAGTTGATTGGAGTTTTTCCAGATTCCACTTATGGTTGAAATTTTGAAAGTGAAATGAGTAGTTATCTCATATCTCCTATTCATAAATTTCTTGTGTTTAATTTGCTACCACAATTGATATTTTTGTCATAATTATTCGACTGCTTTACTTTTCTTGTCAATCATCTCTTTTTCATTGTATCAGTGTAAATTTTGACTACTTGAAACCGACATACTTCTGTGTCAATTCGTACATGATCTATGATTAATTATCAAATATCAATTCCTGTTTGCGTTACTGATATTTTAACTACATAAAGTTAAGTGCGTATCCCAACAGTCATATTTCTCTAAACTCTAATAAAATAGATTGCAAGTTGCATTTTATATTTGACTATTTGTAAACTTAAATTGAATCCATTTATAAAATATTATTTTCTAATTTACTTTTATTTAACTTCACAGGTTTATTAAAACAACAATTAACACATGTTAACGATACATATTTATTTAATAACACTCAATCAATTGGTTTAATGAATAAAGTGGCACCAGAAAGTCCATTAGTTATTATGCAATTAATGGCTAAAGGCGATCTAGCTAGTTATCTACGTTATTTAGGTGACAAAGGACAAGGTTCCGTTAATTCATCACAAGCGTATTTATGGGCAACACAAATAGCTGATGGTATGGCATACTTATCTGCTAAACAGTATGTTCATAGGTAATGATTTTGTATTTAAACGAAAAGGGACGTCATACATTTTATGAAGCAAAATATCAATGTTAATTTATTAGAAACTATTAGTTATTTTTTCAATAGTTGTATTCTGACAACTTATTCTTAATTCTTGATGATATTTCATCATTGGTACAACAAAAGTAGTATTTATTAACTCATTGCTTCGCTGTTATCTTTTCCTTATTTGAAACTATTATACATGGATGTTTGCGGAATTGTGAAGTTTTATTTATTACGCATGATCTAATGTAACCAAATCCTTACCAGTGATGACAGTTGATAAAAAACTAATTTATTACATAAATATCTGTCAACTATCCTATATGTTATATTTAAATGGTAACATTATTGTTCCTCCAAATAAAGTAAACGATTTAGTAGCTAGTTTATTATCAAATTCTTCGATGTTCAATTTTGGTGGAGTTTTGTTCTCTGAGCTGGATAGGTTGGTCGTGGAGCTTTCATCGTTCTTCTGAACGACATCATCAGCACATCAGTAGTGGGAGTTCGAATCAATCTCATCAAGACTGTGGGTACGATTTGCTGACGAGCATCAGGTTACCGTACTTCAACCCAGCCAGAGGAAGTCAATGAGTTAAGAAGGAAATTATGTAGAAAGCAATGGATATATAAACATGAGTGCAGTTTCATAGGAATGATTCCGATTGAAGGATACAAGGTTAGGGGTAATACTCAACTCAGGATTTAGAAGAAGACTGAGGATGAATGCATATGCACCATTATTATTCAGTAGGGAACTGTCATTTAACATTCGCGACAAATAATTATGTATAGTACGTAGGTCCGGGCCAGGAGATTCTCACCTACTGATGTAGCCCAGACAAGTAGTTACGGTCTTCATGAATTGACACCATGTTTACCTAACTGAAATAATAAACTAATAATTAGAAGGGTCAAACCTTGATATTCTTCACTAATTTCTAGCGAAAATTAGGTAGTTTGCAGAACTCACAACGAAGTTAGGTAGTTTTCCTGTCAAATAATGTGTTTTAGTATATTCAGGTTAGTTTACCACTTCATATTATCATACAATTCAATAAAAAATTTCATTGTCTTCATTATGTAGAGATTTAGCTGCTCGCAATTGTCTTGTTGATTCCAATCTCACGGTGAAAATTGGGGATTTCGGACTTTGTAGAGATGTTTATGGACATAATTATTATCACAAAACAAGTCACGCAAAACTACCAATCCGTTGGATGGCCCCAGAATCTCTTCAAACTGCTTACTTTACAACACAATCAGACGTTTGGTTAGTTACTAGCTATTTATAAAGATCTATTTAAATGATAGCAACATATTTTAAGGTTTCATTTTTTGTCAAACACGAAATACATAGAGTTAATTAGGTCCGGTTGGAAATTACCGCGGTTGTCGTTATTCACCTTGGTAGTTTTCCGTTAAAAAATGAAGTATTAAATACCAAATGCAGTGCATTGATATATTGTTTTACTTTGTCCTGCAGGATATGTTTCATTTTGTTATCAAAATAACTCGGTCAACATCAATGATAGGAACAGCATTTTATTCACTCATATACAATTATTCTATTAATTTTGATTCATAGTGATTATATGTCATTGTGACTTGTTAAGTTTTGAAATCAGCAGTAAAACTACAAGTCTACTGTTCATTCTTGAAATTTCCATAATAATAATGATCATGATCAGATCTCGAAGTTGTCAATGATAAATTTGAGGAAATTTAATAACATTAAAGGTAAATCCTTTATCTATATAGGAGGATTTGAAATCGTAATTTTTGTCTATATAATTTTTATTGCAAAAGGATATTTATAACATTTAGTTAACGGCATTATAATATATAGGAATAGCCTAGAAAGATTGCGTTTTTTTCTTTTTTATTATTAGCCTGATTGCCTGATGAATGTTTCACAGCTAACTTTATGTACGCATTCTTGCTCAGTGGTTTGGCCATTTCTAGTGACATTTTGAAGAGAGATTTTATAACAGGTTCCTGTTATTCTCAGAATAGTTTAAAATCATAGTGTAATGGATAAGTTCGTTTTATTTTGTAAATGTCGATAATCTCACAGGGTTACCTTATATTTCGGTGTTTGATCAATCCCTATTAATCGCTATTGGTAACTTAATGCAAAAAATAGCAAAGACATTATTCTGTTTTCGTTTTTTGGATATTAACTATATACTTTCTAGTATTTTGTAAGAAATTGAGTGTATTAGAAAATTATCACTTTATCATAACGTCTGTTTATAATGAGTCGGTTATACTTACTCCTTATTTCTTTATTTATCGTACTTTCAAATGACTCAGGTCTTATGGTGTTGTTTTGTGGGAGATAGTTACTATGGCATGTCTTCCTTATCGTGGTATGTCTCATGAAGAGGTGGTCAAGTATGTTCTCAGTGGAAAAACACTTCTATCCAATAGTTCGCCTACCAACTGTCCAGAACTCTTGTAAGTTCTTATAAGGATGTTTTTGTCCAGTTATCGAGTATTTATATTAGATTGCTTTCCATACTTTGATTTCTGTTTTCTCATTCTTTTAACTACTGAATACGATGTTTTTTCATGTGTTCTTTTACATAAATTTCCTGTCGAATTTTGAGACTGTTTATACCTGTATTTTTAATGTTTTAAAAACTGACTAGGATTTTGAAGGAAGTTCAAATACAAATTTAAAACCTGCATTTGGATGATCCGTGCCATTAAAATCTAAATAATTCCAACGTTTCATCTTGTAGAATGGTCCAAGGTTTCTCATTAGCTGTCAACGTCCTAGAGTTACATTAGTAATATTACTACAAACGAGTTTTACTCACCGTGATCGTTGAAGATTAGTTCGAAATGACATAAGAGATGAGGAGAGGAAAGAATATATTTTATCTATAATCAGGCGATAAAACAATTTGATGTAGGAATCACTCGTCAGTCATCTACAACGTAAGACCACATAAAATTATGCATTGGTCCATATTGCCATACCTTATTAGTACAACAAAATTTACACCAAATTCAGAGAATCAGTTACTTCAATAGTAGAAAAATATCTAAAAAAAACATTCCATATAAACATAAAATACAGGGAAAAAGAATTAGTTCGTATAAAGAAGGGTATAAAGTAATTTGAGGGAAGACAAAGAGTGCATACACCTACACCATTGTGATTGACTCTGAGCCATGTCACCCAAAGTCTCCCACAACTAGCTACGACAGTCGCGTGCACCACAACCAAGTAGTTTACATCTACCGACATGGCTCACACTGGAAGTTAATGACTTTATGGACGCCAAATTTTCGTTTGGCAGCCCTAACTTTCTTCCAGCCGTCTCCAAAACTAGTCAGCATTGCTCACCGTGGTAGTCGGTGATTAGGCATGTGTAATACGTAGCCTAACCATCTCAGTTGATGTAGATTCACAACTTCATCAACGAATTTACCATCATTTCCTAATACCATGCGTCTAACCTCATTATTACTTACCCGGTGATCCCAGCAGATGCAAGCTATATTTCTAAGACATTTGTGATCAAAACTAGTAGCTTACGAGTATCTTCTACTCTTAATGGACACGTTTCGTAGCCGTAAAATAAAACAGAACGAACTGCCGCGCAGTATACTCGTCCTTTAGTTGATAGACGGATACCTCGCCTTCTCCATTGGTGATGTAAGTTGACAAAAACCAAACGAGCTTTCTGAAACCATGAAGAGGCTTTGTCACACACCACACCATTAGTGCTGATCAGACTTCCAAGATAAGTGGAGTTTTCGATGTGGTCGACTACTCCACTCCCTATCCTTAGTTCAGGTGTTGACGCAAGCCAGTCTTGAAGCAACAATCTGCATTTAGGGAAGGAGAAACGCATCACAAACTTCCTGGCATTGTTGCTCAGTGCTACCAAAACACTGTGTCTTCGCCAAACAAAACTATGTCATCTGCGTGTTCCATAAGATCTGAGTTGACTGATAGTGTTCGAGTAAAGAGCCTTCACAAGTTTTATGTACTTCTGAGATACGCCTCTCAACGACAGACAGACACAGACACAGAACATCTTGATCTACAGAGTCAAATGCTGCTTTCAAGTCCAGAAAAACCATCTTTTTCAGACGCTGATAAGCAAACCTGTGTTTTAGGATCTGAAGAATGGCGAACATGTGATCGGTGCAGCTACGATCAAATTCGAAGCCAGCCTAATTTTCTCGTATATTCAGTCCATGAGTCTTTGTTAGACACCCGATAATTATTAAGGCCAGTATTTTAGACGCTATATTAGTCAAACTAATCCCTCCATGGTTATCACATGATGATCTTGATCCCTTCTTATGTTTTGGGACAAACAGTGGTTGCGACCAGTCTGATGGGATCACATCTAGTCCTCAGATTTTAGCTGAAATATTAGTCAGCCTAGTCGCTAAAACTGGAGCACTCTCTCTTGAGACCTATGGAACCAATCCATTTAGACTCACTGCTCTTCCGCGTTTCAGATTAGCTGTAGCCTTTTGAACTTCAGGTAGATTCGGGGTACCTACTTCAATGTTCCATTCAGGCTATCTGGGAATGGTGGGTAATTGTAGAGTAGCTGAAGGCCAGCTAAACTGTTCTCTATAGTGCTCCGACCATCGTTCTAAACGTCCGGACTAGGTGGGAGCAGATGAGAGTGTCGTCTTTTTCCGAGATAGTCTCACTTACACCGGACTTCTAAATTCCGGTTTCTTTTATTAGTCCGAAAAGCTGTCCTATGTTACCTACAGCCGTTATTTTTTCCATCTCTTTTGCTTTCGTTGCCCACCACTACTCAAGATCGTTCCGTAAGCTTTTAATTAACCTAGATCTGATTTGTTTTCGCTCTTCATCATGTTCAGACCCTTATGGGATGAGTTTACGAGAGTCTGTCAGTGCAATAGATGTCGCGGAAATCCACTGGTTTATCGTAACCCTTTGGTTCAAATCACCAATAGATATCGCTGTCGTTTTCACGGCTGTCCCTAAATCTTTCCGAGCAACACCTGGTTCAGCCTCGTTGTCGGAATTGCCTAAGTGTGACTTCCGTTGTTTCTGGAATTTGCTTTTTGCCCTACTCATTGCTGAAATCAATTCTAGTGGATTTACTCAATATGGTCTTTCTATATCCAATGGGGTGCCAGCAAATGCGTACTCGTTTTAGAACATAGTCGGAATCTAAACATGTACTCCGGAACGAGCAACAGTCTTCTATCGTGCCTTTCCAACGATGACTGATGGCAATATATTTAGGTGTGTACTAAAATTTGGTCAAGTTTCTTCTGCAACTTCATTTTATCTGCTGCATTCGGTTATATCGGCAGAAATCTCTGTGTGTGTTGATCGAGAGATCTTTTGTGCAGTTTCCTCTCTTCTTATAAAAGCTATTCAACTCATTTTCTCTGCATAAATTAGTTGAAATAATATATTTCATTAGTATAAGATAAGGATTGTGTAAAACTTATGTATTCGTCCGAATTATGAAAGTGAAAACAATTCTTTCTAATTTGCAGGATAATGTTTCATGTTGTTGGATAAATTTTATAAATATCATGATTCGAGTCTATTGTTTTTGAAATTTTTATTTTCGCTTTGTCTTCTGCTAATCCTCCCTTATTAAATAGTTTGTATTTTAATTACATTTTTTTGCTTCTATTTAGTCATGCATTAATGCTTCATTGTTGGAACTTCAATCCCTTGAAGCGACCAACATTCCTAGGATTGTCTGCTCTGCTTTCACCATGCTTTGGAGATGCGGAGTTTCGAATGGCTAGTTTTTTTTATCATGGTGAACAAAGTTTTGTAAACAAAGATAATCGCTTAAAGGTTTTGGAAGCCCCTGCCGTTTCATTAGGTAAATTGAACATATCATGTAATCAAGATCCCGCCCATGCACTTGCGTGTGCTTTAAGTACATTATTCTGCGGTACTGATGAAGATTCTAGTTATGAATACAATGATCAAAATTTTGACCCTCGTGATAATTTTTCTGCAGCATCAATGCAGTTCGGCGCCATTAGTCGAACAGTGACAGTCAAGGCAAGTCCTATCGGTAGTGGTCATTTTAATAAAACTCATTTGGTGAATTGCAGTCCTGAAGATATATCTTTGAAACAAAGTGATAACGGCATTGCTCTGTCAGAGGTTCAGTGTTTGTTAAGATTATGTGAACACGACCCAAGTCTTGCTGTCCCACCTTTTGTAGATTCTGAATCATTTCCTTTGATATCCAATCATATAAAAAAGTTTTCTGCTGATGAATGTACAAACTTCGAACTAAGTAAATTTAGAAACCTTATCACATAAACCAAAAATATTTGTTATAAATTGTCATTCCTTGTGATAGCTTTTATAATTTCATATTTTTACATTATTTTGCAAATTGTTTTCACTTGCTTTCTAATAATAAATAAATAGTTATTGCGAAGAAAAATTATTCGTTAGTCACCTGCCATGTGGCTCACGAAAGCCAGTACAGGGTATTGCTTGGCTGAATTTTTAAATTCAGGCGTATTCGTTGGTGTCGTCATGCAGAATAAAATAGTTTTTGTTATAAATTTAGTTGTATCTGACTATTCTTAATTTGCAAGGTTATTGCGTCGGTACCCTTAAATTTAGTACGCGTGTGTGTAGAATCTAATAAATACATAATAACGTTCAGGTAAAAGATGAACCTTAAGTGGAAAGTCTTTTAGCTGTAGCGAGTACTTCAATATTTTTTATCATATGAAGATGGAAATTCTCAAAGTTTAAAAACGATTTTTAGGAAAATTTCTAGTAAATTGCAATGCTCGGTTGAGGATCGTCTTCAGAAGTCTAAATTTCTAACTATTGAACTGCGAACTTATATGAACGGTTATATTGTAAATATTTGATCGTCATTCTTCAACCCTGTATCATATCACGCTTTGTATTTTATTACCAACATTCGATCCTTTTTTGATTAGAACTTTAAAACTACAAATTAGTTTGGACTAAACGTGACTATAATTTATTTTTAAGTGCGTGACTACATTTAAAAAATAATTTCTGGAATACGGTACGAACTTTAGGATCAAAGTAAGTAGATCCATTAACTGATAAAGCAAACGATTTGAATCTATTGTGAAATACCCTCAGATATGAGTCTCGGAACCAGAGTAGCTTAAACACCAGACAAACAGTGATTAAGCAGTTTAATACTTCCCCATCCCAGTTAGTCATACTCAACTTGAGACCTGGGACGTGTTTACACCGCTTCAAGATTCCTCATCCTGTTAGGGCAGAGGGATATAACTGTCAAGACAAACACCATAGCAACAAAGGTTGTGACAGCATTAGTGATAAGCGAAATGATTGAGCATGTATGTCATTGGAGAAAACGGGTTTGAGAAATAAAGACAATTTTCCGGGCATAACCATTTTTAAGCATAGATAAATAATGACCAGCAGCGGGATCTGTAATGCCCATTTCGCGCCATTTGATACTTGTCGGCTTGATGTTCTTGTAAGACAGAGTTGGTGTTCTCTTTGGGACTTGAACTGTCTATCTCTGCCAAAAATGATTTTATCTTAATGACAAGATCGAGGCAATCCACATAGGATGCACTTACGTCTACAGAACCATATCAATCGCAAAATCCGAATAACCTGAGCATACGAATGTATAAGGTGATTTAGAAATCTGGAATCTACGGTAAAACAAATAGTGAATGTACACTGTGCTTTGACGAACCATTTTGAGTTACGTCAACCAAAGTCTAACCATTGGTAACGATAATCATGTGGACTGCAATCAGGTTGCTTGCACCTATCGACATGGTTTAGTTCTATTGTGAATGACTTCGTGGACTGATGCAATGTCTTGGTTTGACCGCCTCCAGCTTTTTTAAACGTGTTTCTACATCATTCGACATTGTGAGTCTAGGTAGTCAGTGGATGGGCGTACTTAACACATATTCAAAACATTTCATTTGACAATGATTCATCACCTCATCAGTCGACTTGTTATAGTAACGTAGAACTCTTCGTCTGATCACAAAATCGCAAACCTGATAGTCCCAAAAAGCAAGTGGTTAGAAGACACTTGTAACTAAATACAAGTGACTTGAGAATATCTTGTATTTATAAGGGCCAAATTTCTCATGCGAAAAGTAGAAGACAGCGTGCTGATATACAGTATACACTCCTTTTAGTTGACAAGCTTTTGTCTAGCCTACGCCACAAGTAATGCAAGTTGATGAAGGCTGACTGAACTTTGTGGATTCATTTCGAGATTTCACTATATATCAAACCACAAAGACTGGTGAGACCCCCATAATAAGTGAAGTTATTGAAAAAGCTCAATCACGTCGTTCCCTATAATTATTTTAGGAGTCGACAAAGAGCAGCCCTGGGGTAAGATTTTAGGTTGGGAGAGAGAGAATCGCATCGTGAAGATCTTATTATTACTGTTTGAAACCATTCTGATTTTCCAATGTTTAATTTTTACTAGTCCCAGTTAAGCGTTGGATTACTATTTGGAACATTAGTAAAGAATCTGTTGATCGAACTGATTCCTTTGCGGTCATCAAAAGAGTATTCTAGTCCCTTCTTGTAAAGCGGAATGACTGACGATCATAACCAGTTGGAAGTGTTCATCAGACTCTAGTTAAGACTTTAACTCATCTTATTGGTTCAAATGGACCACAACTCTCAAAACACATACTAATGTATCAGAATCTGTTACTCTCTGTCCCTTTGGATTAGCCGAAATTTTCTCACCACTAAATTTTGAGCAGCTTATAATGACACCCTATTCAAGTTGCTTGACAAAATCGACGACTCAAGGTTAGCTGAAGATCAGTAAAGATGTTCGTCAAAACATTATGTCAAGTGATCCATCCTCATGGAATGTTTCCTTATTCTATCTTTTTCTAGAATAGTCTAAGTACTCACCAAATTTTTTAACATCTGTTTTTTAACAAGTCTGAAAAGTTGTCTACTTAACACCTTATTCATTGTCTTTGTTTTTGCTGTCCACCACTGCTCATGATTGTTACGTAGACAGTTTTTGGCTCATGATCCAATTCTCATTGGCTCTCATCGTACTAAAAGCATAAACGATGAGTTTCTGATCATATAATGGTTCCGTAAGTGCTACCGAATTCATTGATTTTTCTATATGTTTTGGTTGGGGTAATTCTAGAGAGAGTTCTTGCCATAGTTTTATGTTCCAAGAAAGACACATGGATATACTTTTTTATAATAGAGCATGAGCTAAGTTCAGTGATGTGTCTTAAAACGAGCATCATTTATTTGTAGCGTGGTGTCGGGTCGCGATTGACAATGAACACCACTACAAAGGAACGCGTGCCAGGACATCCATAAAATCCCCCGGAAGCCGAATTTCAGAAGGCAGTTAGTGGACCAAGTGGAGATATATTTGCTGGCGACATCGTGGTATCCGGTTACTGAGCGTAACCGGATTCGCGCGAGGTTACGATCGAAGTAAGTATAATGGATGTTTTCAGCACAGTTAAACAAAAAGCACATTAAAACAGTCACTGGTACAACTGGTTATAACAATAATTTTTTCATTAAATCCATCGTGTTCTCGTGATAAAGTAAGTCACTACATATTCATCGGGTCTATCTATCCATGGGAATTGGTTATCTGGTCTGTTCGCATCAATTAAAACATTTGGAGACCCATACACCTAACTTTTGAAAAGAGAGGATTATATGAAGACTTGTACGCGCAGTTTGAATGAATGGGTAAGCGGTCTATAGCAGGGAATCCTAGCAAGTGTGTAGTTATGCGAATCAGTTACTTTGACGGTTCACATAACCATATAATAAGTGGAATGTCATTATTCAAAGTAATTGGTCATAATAAATCCGCAATAGCAAATAATGACGAATTTAGAGTTAAAAGTAGTCGTATTTTAACTGCGTTCAAACACTGGGGGGTTTTTGTAGTTTTTAGTAGAAAATTTCTTCGCCTGGATGAAAAAATATTTTGAGCATTCATATCAAAAGTTTATTAATCCGCATCTGGAATGTGGAATGGAAGTAGAAAGCTTTTGTTGAAATATAAAGCGGATATGTTTTGACAGGTTCAACGGCGAAGAACCAAAATGTCTCAGTGCGTGCCCTCTGAGGAGATACTAAGACGCGCTCATTTATTCACATTATCCGATCGAGTGTTTCGAAATGACTTAGTACTGGCCTATCAAACGATAATCCTAGCATTGATATGATGTATCTTTTATTTTCATCTATTAATAATGATTTTGCGAGACATTCTCGAAAAATTCGAAAACTGGGGTCGTATCTGTTTCATTTGAAGGTCTTTCATAAAGTCATGAATTTCTGGACATATCTGCCGTGAGGCGTTTTCCACTTCAAGGCTAGTTCTAGTGTATCTTTAGTTTTTACAGTACCTGTTTTTACCCGTTTTATTTGTCTTGTGTGTTTTATTTTTTTCGCGACCGTAAACTTTTCCTAAGATTTATCTGACATTTTATATTTCACCATGGTGATTAAAACATGTGTAATCGAGCTGGATATCGTTTTGGTGTCACCTAATGTATCCAGCGTGGAAAATACAAAGGCTGATTGCACAAGTCATTCACAGACTTTTCAGGGAGTATGTCGCACATGCAATATGAATGCCAAGGACTTTCCGAACAGCATTGTCAGTCCTTTGACAGGTCCTTTGTCAACGACCCTGAAAAACGGCAGCCGTGAAACGGATGGACAAACGAAGACACTTAGTAAGGTAAAGAAGAGGGTGTTCGATAACACTGATATCGATTCGACATTCATCAGTACCAGTGAGGACTTGCCGAAACTTTGCACCGCCATAACATAAACGGTGTTAGACTCCATCATAGCGCAGCCCCTAGATATGCAACTGCGGTTCTTAAAACGTTAACTGTAAGCGGGAAAAACATTGCCAACGGGGTTAAAGGGTATCGGGTGTCACCATTGAAAACGTTAAACAGCCAAGGTATTTTAAGAAGATTAGCTGATGAATTGGCCGCGCAATCCCCGCATTAAGATTGTCCAGTCGGTCAACATAAAGCACCTCAATGTAAGTGCAAAACAAAAAACTCCGATTTCAACGTATACAAAAATCTAGACAGTCAATTATAGCTCGAGGTGCTTCTTTCATAATAGCGACCCTTAAACATAACTCTGGCCTACCTCTCAGTCTGTGTGACGAAAGCGACATGATGCTTAGAGAATCTCAAACTTTCTGAAATTCATTCACTAACTGTTGCACGACTTACCCATAGGAAGGATAACAAGCACCAAAATCACCCAAGAGTCTTTTATCTAAC